TCTTTGCCTAGTGTTACAGTAAATTATCTGGTTCAGTGCTTTAATGTAAAAGATTCACTTTGATAAGGGAGTTGGAAATTTTTTATCATCCATGATATACTCTCATTATGCAGGATCACTGTGTCTACATCGTTATAGTCTAGCTCATTTTGTTAACGTCCACTTACCCATGACATACATGTTACCTAAATGTGTGCCCTTATACCTTCTACATTTAATCCAGTCTCAGTACCTCTTTTGTATAATATGATCCAGCCCTCGAATCACCTTCAGTACTTTGTATCTGACTTCTTTTCCAGTTTCTGTGTATATCCTTATGATATTGCATCCAGGTTAAAGTTGTTAATATCCTAATGCTTTGACCAAATTATATAATTTCCAACAAGGGATAGAACCAACAAACTTTCAACAATGGAAAGAATCAATTACTACATAACTGACTTTGTCCATTCGTTGTACATTCACTTATATTGGTGGCATTTCTGAAGTGGTTGCAACTTGATTTTAAGGCTTTATAGAAACATTCACCCTAAAAATGAAAATATTTCAGTTTTTGTTGTAAGATGTACTTGGAGACACTGATGTCATTGTGTCCTATGTATGTTATTGGTATAAGATTGATGGTACATTGAGTTATGAATATTTTACTACTCCATGCTCTACTGAAATGGTTATGATAAGATCAGTTAAATCACCTCTTTGTTAATTCAAGCAAGAAGTGTTAAGATTTGGAAAAAAAAACAAACTTCTGTCTGAGGTGATCAGGTCATAGATCAGTCACACATGAGATAGGGATGGGATATGTCTGGTGAGATCAGGGGAGGTAATAGATCAGTCACACATGAGATAGGGATGGGATATGTCTGGTGAGATCAGGGGAGGTAATAGATCAGTCACACATGAGATAGGGATGGGGTGTGCCTGGTGAGATCAGGGGAGGTAATAGATCAGTCACACATGAGATAGGGATGGGATATTTCTGGTGAGATCAGGGGAGGTAATAGATCAGTCACACATGAGATAGGGATGGGATGTGTCTGGTGAGATCAGGGGAGATAATAGATCAGTCACACATGAAATATGGATGGGGTGTGTCTGGTGAGATCAGGGGAGGTAATAGATCAGTCACACATGAAATATGGATGGGGTGTGTCTGGTGAGATCAGGGGAGGTAATATATCAGTCACACATGAGATAGGGATGGGATGTGTCTGGTGAGATCAGGGGAGGTAATAGATCAGTCACACATGAGATAGGGATGGGATATGTCTGGTGAGATCAGGGGAGGTAATAGATCAGTCACACATGAGATAGGGATGGGGTGTGTCTGGTGAGATCAGGGGAGGTAATAGATCAGTCACACATGAGATAGGGATGGGACATGTCTGGTGAGATGAGGGAAGGTAATTGATCAGTCGCTCATGAGATAGGATAGGGTACTAATACCAATATGAGAAGGTCAGCGAAGTGGTTATGCTCACTTCTACATCCATGGAATATTACATGGGAGAATTGAAGGCTCAAGTGAAGTTATTTAACCGTCTAGAGTGGTTTTCAGGAGAAAAAACTGAACAATTACAGACTGGTGTGCTCCTTTGAAGATTACAAAGGAATGACACCAAACTTCAAAGCCAGTACAACATAATTTAATGCTTCGTTGATGTACATCAAAGGATCAAACTAGTTTTCTTGTCTAATACACAAGTTGTCGCACACGGAATCTTCAATTTTGTCTTGAAATCTTCCAGGGTTATAAAAAGCAATAGTGACTAATTCCTTACTTTGAAGGGGAGGTAATAGAGAGGATAAAGGTGATAACACTGTGTTTGTCACTGCATCAGTTGTAGGATGAAGATAGGATGCTGATGAAATCTTTGACAGTAGTATAATTGCCTGGACACTTGGAAAGCTCAGCCAGCTGTGGCAGTATCCTATGTAACAGATGGCTATATATATTCTGCATTTCTACGCAATGCAACTAATGTACATAAATGTAAAACCTATCACAAAAACAATACAACAAGGCACATAGTATGCAAGGATCAATGCTTCAGTGTTATGACACACAGTCGAAAAAAATATATCTACATGTGAATTAAAATGAAAAAATATGCACGGATAGATCAATTTTCTTTTGTAGGTTTGATGTGTATTTTGCATACCAGTAGCAAATGCAAAGTTACATAGTGACCAGACTAATCTTGTTTGTTGTGGTGATTACAAAGTGATCCAAAGACATCAAAAAAGTACTATAAACAATTATGAGACTGTCAAAGCCAAACCTGTTAAACCAACTAATTCTTCTTTATCAAAGTAAAACCTGTTAAACCAGCTAACCCATTATTATCAAAGCCAAACCTGTTACACCAGCTAATACGTTTTATCAAAGACAAAGAATTTTCAAGGTGTCTGATTTCTGAAATTTTATCCCATCCTAAAATAATTATGAAAACTAATTTGTTATATTTGTCCATCACTCCATCTTTTTTTGTGATAAATAACTTTTAAAAAAAATTGTTCTGATTTCAAAATAATTAATGATAAATGGTGCACAGTAGAAAATGAGTAAACAGTAATTGTGATGTTATGTCCATATGACTTCAGGTTGTAATCCAGAAAGCTGCTAGCTACACCATTATTAAACCAAATGCAATATTGGTCGTGGTTTGTAGGAGTAGAACGTTGCTAGAGTTTCAGTAATTTCAGTCATTACAGCCCACTAGGGAAAGGTCAAACTGCTACTTGGATTGGTCCAAGTAGCTGTAATCGTGGGCTGTAAATTTCCCCCCAGATTAGTTCTAGGATTGTATATTGTTCATCGAACAATTCCTATTTAGTTAAACCTACCGAAACAATCATATTCAGAATCTGCCTACTGACATTATGTATTGGTATCTTAACCACAGACTGACATTCTGATAAAGTTAACATTCCTCTTCATGTTCATGTCTTTGAAGACTGACTGACTGTCTCTCTGTATACTGTATTCAATCTAATAACACTGTTAATATGTTTCCATGTGAAATGTATTAGACATAGAATTTTGGTAACAGAGCACACAATATAAACTTGAAACGGATAATTGGCAATCGTAAAACTATATGGTAAATTTCATCATTGATATGCGACATGAGAAGATGATATACTTGGTATGATGGGGAATGCTGAATTAAGAAACATTTGACCAGTATATTTGGTATGATGAGAAAAATTTGGCTTATATGAGGAACACTGTAATAGGAAAATTGTTCCATGTTCCTACTCTAAGGATGATAAGGTCACATAAATATAGGTCAATTGATTATACGGACATTTCACTTAAAATGTTTTTTTCATATCAGTATTTTGAGTAAACAGTGGTTTACCAGTAGAAATCTTTCACATGACCATGGTCTGTCAGTCTACTAGTAGAAATCTTTCACAAAGCCTTGGTCTGTCAGTCTACTAGTAGAAATCTTTCACATGACCATGGTCTGTCAGTCTACTAGTAGAAATCTTTCACATGACCATGGTCTGTCAGTCTACTAGTAGAAATCTTTCACAAAGCCTTGGTCTGTCAGTCTGCTAGTAGAAATCTTTCACAAAGCCTTGGTCTGTCAGTCTACCAGTAGTAATCTTTCACATGACCATGGTCTGTCAGTCTACTAGTAGAAATCTTTCACATTACCTTGGTCTGTCAGTCTGCTAGTAGAAATCTTTCACATTACCTTGGTCTGTCAGTCTACCAGTAGAAATCTTTCACATGACCATGGTCTGTCAGTCTACTAGTAGAAATCTTTCACAAAGCCTTGGTCTGTTAGTCTACTAGTAGAAATCTTTCACGAAGCCTTGGTCTGTCAGTCTACTAGTAGAAATCTTTCACAAAGCCTTGGTCTGTCAGTCTGCTAGTAGAAATCTTTCACAAAGCCTTGGTCTGTCAGTCTACCAGTAGTAATCTTTCACATTACCTTGGTCTGTCAGTCTACCAGTAGAAATCTTTCACGAAGCCTTGGTCTGTCAGTCTACCAGTAGTAATCTTTCACATTACCTTGGTCTGTCAGTCTACCAGTAGAAATCTTTCACGAAGCCTTGGTCTGTCTGTCTATCAGTAGTAATCTTTCACATTACCATGGTCTGTCAGTCTACCAGTAGAAATCTTTCACATTACCTTGGTCTGTCAGTCTACCAGTAGAAATCTTTCACATTGCCTTGGTCTGTCAGTCTGCTAGTAGAAATCTTTCACAAAGCCTTGGTCTGTCAGTCTACCAGTAGTGATCTTTCACATGACCATGGTCTGTCAGTCTACTAGTAGAAATCTTTCACATTACCTTGGTCTGTTAGTCTACCAGTAGAAATCTTTCACATGACCATGGTCTGTCTGTCTACTAGTAGAAATCTTTCACAAAGCCTTGGTCTGTTAGTCTACTAGTAGAAATCTTTCACGAAGCCTTGGTCTGTCAGTCTACTAGTAGAAATCTTTCACAAAGCCTTGGTCTGTCAGTCTGCTAGTAGAAATCTTTCACAAAGCCTTGGTCTGTCAGTCTGCCAGTAGAATTCTTTCACATAACCATGGACTGTCAGTCTACCAGTAGTAATCTTTCACATTACCATGGTCTGTCAGTCTACCAGTAATAATCTTTCACATTACCTTGGTCTGTCAGTCTACCAGTAGTAACCTTTCACATTACCACGGTCTGTCAGTCTACTGGTAGAAATCTATGATGGGTACCCAACTTTAATCATCAAAGCTACATATAGACATGCGACTATCAGAAAAAACTTTAATGAAACAGCAACATCTGGTATCTGTAGTATCTTTATGGTTTCAGTGTTTAGACTAAGCCATCGGTCATCATTCTGATCACAGCTCGCCAGGATGTTGATGCTCTCTTAACTTAGATAAATTGTGTACACTGTATGAACTGTCATGTGAACCATGCTTTGTTGTGTTATAACTGTCTGTATTTTCTACCAGGGCAAGGTGACTGAGGGTTCCCTGATCTTCTAACCTCATTACCATAATGGAGAAGAACGTGCTGAATGGAGGCACGTACACCTACGATGATTACGGATCTGTCAACAACGATGACAAAACTGTGCTATACCAAGAACAAGTAGGTGCTATATGCAATACATTATGTCCATCAATCACTGTCCCATGTGTTGAAAACTTCTTTTTTTATTGAGTGCTAACTTTTATGATTTTTGTGTTAAACTTGTGGCATTTATCTTTTGAGAAACTGAATGTACTGTTCTGTGATTGTTTTAGCATATCTGTCTTCTGAAGCATGTAGCCTACATTTGTGACACACGTTTTGGTGCAGAATCATTGACAATATCTAAAGACCTTTTGTTTCAATGTAGAGTCACGGACTACATGCAGAGTAATTGCAGCCCTCAAGACCTTATGTTTCAATATTGTGTCTTTGATGCCCTTGAGACTTGACATTTTAATATAATGTCACTAAGGCCCTCAAGATCTAAAGTTTCAATATATATTCATTGGCCATGCCCTCAAGACCTTATGTTTCAATATTGTCTCATTAATGCCCTTGAGACTTGATATTTTAATATAATGTCACTAAGGCCCTCAAGATCTAGTTTCAATATATATTCATTGGCCATGCCCTCAAGACCTTATGTTTCAATATTGTGTCATTGATGCCGTTGAGACTTGATATTTTAATATAGTGTCACTAAGGCCCTCAAGATCTAAAGTTTCAATATATATTCATTGGCCATGCCCTCAAGACCTTATGTTTCAATATTGTGTCATTGACGCCCTTGAAACTTGATGTTTCAATATAGTGTCACAAAGGCTCCAAGAGCTAAATTTTCAATATATATTCATTGGCCATGCCCTCAAGACCTTATGTTTCAATATTGTCTCATTAATGCCCTTGAGACTTGATATTTTAATATAGTGTCACTAAGGCCCTCAAGATCTAAAGTTTCAATATACATTCATTGGCCATGCCCTCAAGACCTTATGTTTCAATAGTGTCTTTGACGCCCTTGAGACTTGATGTTTCAATATAGTGTCACTAAGGCCCTCAAGATGTTAAGTTTCAATATATATTCATTGGCCATGCCCTCAAGTTTCAATTCAATGATATATTCGTTGACCAGTCCCTCTAGACTTGATGCTTCATTATTGTGTCATTGAGGCCCTGCAGACTCGACATTTTAATATATTGTCACTGAGGCCCTCAAGACCCTCAATATCTGATGTTTCAATCAAGTCATTTACCACCTGACCTCATGATCTCGCTTTAATATTGTATCACTGAGGCCTTCCAGACCTTATGCTTCATACAGTATAGCCATTGACCAGACCTACAAGACTCCTTGTTTCAATGTAGAATCATTACCATTGACGAATTCTACAAGGCCTATTATTAACATGGTCAGAATCAGGCACTGATGAAATGCCATAGAGCCTCAGACCAGTTTTAATACTCTGTGTTTACACTGTAACTGGCAGTTAATCTAAATGGTCCTATTGCCTGTAGGGTAATTGCCATTATTATTTCATACTGTAAATGTCAAATGTGTCTACAGCTTGGCAATCTGTAATTAGGACTAGTGGAAAATGGAGATGGTCGACAAAATCCATCCAAAATTCAATTATTAACTATATCTGGATAGTGTCTTAATATAGAAATGTTATGGGTTTTTTACAAGCAGCCTCTAGCCTTAATAGTAGGTGTAGCTTGCTAGTAAGGGTGTTTTCAGGAATTGTTATTATTATTATAGTAGAAAGAGAAGTATACTACATTCATATAGTTATGATTTTGTTTGATTCTTACATGAGAATTTCAGGTAGTGTTCACTTAGCAATAAGTCCATGCTTTATAGTAATAAGCCCACACATGTCTATAAATAGAATTTCAGCATGCTACCGGATACTATGTCATTCATCTGTTATAAAGAATGGGACTTTATGTATTACCATTCCCTGCCCCCACCTGTCATCTCCCATCCTCTCATCCCACCCCCACCCATCATCTACCCACCACCAACCCACCACCAACCTATATGCCTAATGCTTATTGAAAAATGAATATAGTAAATAAGTGTAATGAATCACAGTTGAGCTAGTGTTATCAGTATGAATTGCCCAAAGTCACAGATGAACTGTAGTTATCTGTATTGAACACAAACTTAGTCAAGCATCATTGGCGATGAGGCCTAATATACAGTATCAATAATTGAATGCATGTATCGTAAAGTACATGTACCACGTAGACATAAATAACTGCTACTGTTGGAGAGGAATCACTGGAAAACCTGCACAGTGTTAATTAGTATGTTAATAGACCTGTTCTTCTGCTTTAGACATGTAGTTGGATCTGGTGAATCAGCAAATTGTACAGTTTGTGTAAGAGAAAAAGTTTATTGATTACATTTCCAAAAAACCTGTGCAGGGGATGTTATGTTTTGTTCTGTCTGTCCTTCTGTTTGTTCTTCAGTTTGTCATACCTTTTGGTCATCATTCTAGGATTTCATTATGGATATCTCTCTTTTTTTTTTTTTTCTTTTTTGTTATTCTGCACACAAATGCTTATCTTTGAAGCATTCTGAAGGTGTTTAAGTGTGAAATTCATCAGTCAAAGGTCAAGATCACATTCTGAATATGAATTCTTTATATTTGATGATCGGAAGTAGTTGACAGATCATGAGGGTATTGACTTTAGTTAAGTTTGATAAATAAAGAGGGTAATGATTGTGGATAGAACTGTAGATGATGAGGGTGTTGATTGTGGGGAGGATTGTAGATGATGAGGGTGTTGATTGTGGGTATGATTGTAGATGATGAGGGTGTTGATTGTGGGGAGGATTGTAGATGATGAGGGTGTTGATTGTGGGTAGGATTGTAGATGATGAGGGTGTTGGTTGTGGGTAGAACTGTAGATGATGAGGGTGTTGGTTGTGGGTAGGATTGTAGATGATGAGGGTGTTGGTTGTGGGTAGGATTGTAGATGATGAGGGTGTTGATTGTGGGTAGCACTGTAGATGATAAGGGTGTTGTTTGTGGGTAGGTTTGTAGATGATGTTGGTGATGATTGTGGATAGAACTGTAGATGATAAGGGTGATGATTGTGGGTAGGATTGTAGATGATGAGGGTGTTGATTGTGAGTAGGATTGTAGATGATGAGGGTGTTGGTTGTGGGTAGGATTGTAGATGATGAGGGTGTTGATTGTGGGTAGGATTGTAGATAATGAGGGTGATGATTGTAGGTAGAACTGTAGATGATGAGGGTGTTGATTGTGGATAGAACTGTAGATGATGAGGGTGTTGATTGTGGGTAGAATTGTAGATGATAAGGGTGTTGATTGTGGGTAAGATTGTAGATGATGAGGGTGTTGATTGTGGGTAGAACTGTAGATGATGAGGGTGTTGATTGTGGGTAGGATTGTAGATGATAAGGGTGTTGATTGTGGGTAGAACTGTAGATGATGAGGGTGATATTTATAGGTAGAATTGCAGAAGATAAAGATGTTGTTTGTGGCTATAATTGTATATTATTTTGTTTGATACACATTGTACTTCTAAACATGATCAAGCTGATTTCATTGGATAATTATCTTTCAGTCCACCTGCTGAAAGCTGATAAGATCTGTCCTCCCAGTAATATGCAGTATTGAAATAAGAATAGGCATTGTATGTGAACAGCTGAATGCTGAATTTAATCAGTATCTCAATTATTTATTCAATGATTCAGAATCACATTACTGTGCATTATACATACCATTAGAATACTTAATAACATCAAGGAGGTGATGTTTCTGAAGCATAGGCAACAAATGGTTTCATAAAATCATTAAGTACAGGCAGTGTTATGATGTAGTTATTGATTTTCAACTGGAGTTGTTAGTTTTTAAAGTAAGGCGATTCCCTTCCCCTATGAATGAGTTTTAAATATAACATGTGCCTGTAGATAGATGAAATGTAGGTGTTCACTATAAACCATTACAGATTTTATTTTATAAGCATCTTCAATATTTGCCAAAACCAAATGGTATTGAAGAATTTCATATTTTCCTGAAACAGTACACAACTTTTAAACCATTTATTAAACAAATTTTTTAAATCTCAGTGGCAGGAGGAATGAAATACCTTTACCAAAAGCAAATTGCACTCCATTAAACCTGTTTTTGGTGAATGGTCACCATGCTATAGCGACAACCACTGAGACGAAGTTGCCCATCTTCAGATGGGTCATACATACCTTACACTTTCATATATGTTGAAAGGCGAAGATAATCCTTGGTGCATAGGATGTGATGAGCCATTCACCGTTAAACATTTTTTATTGGACTGCATTGACCTTCTGTCTACTCGAGAACGTTTTTATCGTAACATTACATGTCTAAAATCCATTTTTTAAACTGTTGAGATTTGTAATTTCTACATTACCTGAAAGAAATTGGTCTATATAATAGACTATGACGTAGCATTGTAATCTTTTGTGTTAACACACCCATTTAAGATTTTTAACATTTGTCTTTTAACTTTTGTTTTGTTTAATGTTATTTCCTCTTGGATCGCTGTGTGTTTTACCGTTTGATGGCCCAAATGACTTTATGTGTTGATGAACTGTAATAATAATAATGATAATGATAATAAACTCTAGACCTATCACCAGACATTTGGTAATCTAACCAAAGGACACACAGGCTTGGTACCGGATCTCAAACATGTATTATATGTAGGAGTCCGTTTTTGTGGATCTGAAATTCTTGTTTACTGGAACATTGAAATTTTCACTTGAAAAAGAAAGAAATCTTGAGACCTGTAATATTATCATTTCTGGTTCTATATTATGTTGCAACAGGTAACACTGTGATACTAGTGTATCAGGATATTTGATAAATATTATCCACTCTGTTCAATACTTTCACAAATGAAGTCTGCTATGAATCACACACATGGAAACTGAATGCATTAAAGGGGTATAGTTTGATAAGCTTATTAAGGTGTTAACGTAATATTGATTACTATACTTTATCTTGAAGAGTTCCGATGATGGCATTGAAATTGGAACTCGTCCATACTCCCCAGGGGACGACCGTAGCTGCTTCTTCAAGGATGGCTTACGACGGATAGGTCAGTCATACAATGTAGTTTATATTGATTGTCTTTACTTGAAGAGGTATTTTAATGTATCTAGCTCCCCCCAGGGTATTCTCTTGTATTTGTTTTAATCTGTTTTTCTTGTTTGATATTAATGACATTGTCTTCGATGATCATGAAATTGCTGACGACAACCTGTTGATTAACCCTTTTTTTGTCCTAATTTTCTCTGGCTACAGCCAAGGTAAATATCTGAAGGTGTAATAAACCGTCTTATTTCTCTACAATTATAACTATTATTATATGTTTCAAGTCGAGAAAACTAGCATAAACAATGATGTAATCACCATTTGGTATTCATGATAGAGGCAGCTCACTATATCTGGTTAGTTGTCCATATTGGTAGGATTTAAAGTTCAAATTCTTGCCAGTTTCTCTCAGAAATATATTGTGTGTTCTTATTTTGTAAAGTTTCATTGAAACATTGCAGCATTATTTCAATGTTTGCTCATTTGCCATTACATAAACAGATTTAAGGACAGCAGCTCCAGCCAAGTATGACCGAGACTCACCATGGAGGCACACACCCTTGGGAGATACAATGTTTTATTTCCCTGTCAAATGATTTTTATTTTAACCGTTTAAGTAACTGTTAGAAAGATTATTAGTTTATTAGTCCCCTTATATGGTATTAAGTTAAAGTGTTGTGTTGCAGATTTTATACTGGTGTATGAAGAGGAGGTGGAAAAGAAGGCGAAGAGCAACAGTATGGACATAGAAAAGGTGGAGAAATGGCGCAACAAGTTCCTCAACAACATTCGTAAAACAGGACTCGAAATCGAGGAGGTACAACAATGATATCTATCTGCTGTTGTCATGTGACTTTCGACATACAATAAAGTTTGCAGGTTTCCAAATCCTTTAATACAGTATTGCAAATTTATCCTGTCAAGAAACCAAGGCAGAACTTGTTTGATTTGGTATCAGTAGGACCATGTCTGGTCACCCAATCAAACCTAAGTCAGAAATGTTAATAACTACAGCCAGCAGTAGGACCATGTCTGGTCACCCAATCAAACCTAAGTCAGAAATGTTGATAACCACAGCCAGCAGTAGGACCATGTCTGGTCACCCAACCAAACCAAAGTCAGAAATGTTGATATCCACAGCCAGTAGTAGGACCATGTCACGCAACCAAACCTAAGTCAGAAATGTTGATAACCACAGCCAGCAGTAGGACCATGTCTGGTCACCCAAGCAAACCTAAATTCAGAAGTGTTGATATCCACAGCCAGCAGTAGGACCATGTCTGGTCACCCAACCAAACCAAAGTCAGAAATGTTGATATCCACAGCCAGGAGTAGGACCATGTCTGGTCACCCAACCAAACCAAAGTCAGAAATGTTGATATCCACAGCCAGTAGTAGGACCATGTCACGCAACCAAACCTAAGTCAGAAATGTTGATAACCACAGCCAGCAGTAGGACCATGTCTGGTCACCCAACCACACCTTGGTCGAATTGAGAAAAAATGCCAAGAGATGGTATAAATTTTTGTCTCATAATAATTGTACGATTCTGATTTGACCTGAAGTTCATGTCTCAGTGTATTTTGCTTATTGAGGATAATAAGTGTATTTATTTAACTGTTTAAAAATTGTTTTTTACAGGAGCGAGTACAAAGTACTAAAAAGATAACTACCTTTATCAAACTTCATGCTCCATGGGATGTCTGCTGTTTCTACGCAGAGGACTTGTGTATGAGGGCTCCTTTACAGGTAACTTTTGAGAAACCATAATGGTAACTCCTGAGATAATAACTAACATTAGAAAAAAGTTACAGGCAACATTTCTTGTGAGTCTTGTCAGGTAGTGCATAAAAAACAAATTAAAAAATAAATAAGGTTAGATAAGATTAGATTTTTTATTTCCGACCTTACAAATGGGCACTTTATTTAGATAAGATGAAGTTAGATTTCAGTCCCTAGTCTAACCTATCAACAATTGTCCACTATATGCAGGCTAGATGAGATCAGATTCTACATTAAAGGGCAAACCTACCCCATCAACAACTAGTCAAAATACACAGTTAAGATGAGATTCAGCTCTATTTCAGGCCCACCCTAACTCATCAACAATTGGTCACCATACAGAGGCTAGATAAGAACATGCTATTTTTTCAGGCCCGTCCTTACACATTGACAACTGGTCACAGTGCACAGGTTTGATGGATGAAATTTCATATTTTAGTCTTGTCACAGACCATCAACAACTGGTTACAATTCTCAGGTTTGATGGGTTAGATCCTAGAAATCAGACCTGAGAACTGTCCACTATACAAAGGTTAGATAAGATTAGATACTATATTTCAGACCTGAGAACTGTCCACTATACAAAGGTTGGATAAGATTAGATACTATATTTCAGACCTGAGAACTGTCCACTATACAAAGGTTGGATAAGATTAGATACTATATTTCAGACCTGAGAACTGTCCACTATACAAAGGTTGGATAAGATTAGATACTATATTTCAGACCTGAGAACTGTCCACTATACAAAGGTTGGATAAGATTAGATACTATATTTCAGACCTGAGAACTGTCCACTATACAAAGGTTGGATAAGATTAGATACTATATTTCAGACCTGAGAACTGTCCACTATACAAAGGTTGGATAAGATTAGATACTATATTTCAGACCTGAGAACTGTCCACTATACAAAGGTTGGATAAGATTAGATACTATATTTCAGACCTGAGAACTGTCCACTATACAAAGGTTGGATAAGATTAGATGCTATATTTCAGACCTGAGAACTGTCCACTATACAAAGGTTAGATAAGATTAGATACTATATTTCAGACCTGAGAACTGTCCACTATACAAAGGTTAGATAAGATTAGATACTATATTTCAGACCTAACTCAGTTCACTATACACAAGTTAGACAGGAATAGATTCAAAATTTCAGACCTGACAGCTGGTCACTATATGCATGTAAAGTATACACAAGCTGTATGATGTTTTATTCTATATTTCAGGCTCACCCTAACCCATCAGACAATTGGTCTGACAAGGTGCTTACCATACTTAAGATACCAAACATGATGAGTGCACATGTACCCAACGCTCCCTTAGACTATTACACCTGTGTGTTCAAGAAATCCAAGCTTGACAGGTGAGTTGTCCTCTTGAATCTCGTTTTCATCATCATCTTTATGTTTAATTAACATCTTGGAATATTGGAATTGAATTTATGTGTACATAAAGTAATTTTAAAATTGTCTATTGTGTTTGAATAAATACTGTTAAAAGAATCAATGTGTGATGGGCAATACTGAGACTCCCTGTTAAAGTCAACATTTCTATGATGACTTTACAACAAAATTTCATTCACAAGACATAGATATATCTAAACACATTGAGTTGTTTGCAACAGGATCATCATTTACACAATGAAGTAAAAATTTGCATCTTATTTGATTTCATTCCAATAGTTGTGAAGGTTACTATATTCCATCTTATTTGGCTTACACTGACCCTGAATGAAGCATTCTGGGACATCCATTTCATCAATATACATATTTTTCATAGGTTCCTTGGGAGTGATAACCAAGAAACTTACTTCTCAAACACCCAGAGGACTCGAGTAGTCAATGAGGTCCTTGGCCGCACGTCATATGGCAAACGGAAGCGAGCAGAAATTGGTATCGACAGACTGTTGGAAGAAGATGTATTCAAAGCAGCCTATCCCTTACATGATGTCAGTATACAAAATCAATATGATCTAATTTTTGTTATAGGGTGTGTTTTGTTTGTTTTTTTTTTCATATTTGCAGAATTATCATTTTTCTTAGCTTGTATTTCTTGCCATAGTTATAGTTCCTCAAATTTACTCTGTAACAAATTCTTATTTTTCCAGAAATATGTTTGACATGATAGATAGACAATTACTTCAAACCCTAATGGCAAGCATGGCTTCACATTGGATTGAAAGTCTTTAATTTCTTCAAAGATTCAAAATTTCACTAAACTCATTACAGTGTCGTACATCATTCTAAAATCAATTCTTAAGTGAACCATATATTTTGTTTCTACCATGATATTTAAGATTAATATTTTGAAATTTTTCTTCATGATAAAGAGTAATTTATTGATTAAATTAATTGATTGTGCCAGTATGCAACTATACAATAATACATGTAAAACCATTTATGTTTCAGGGACCGTTTGAGGTGCCCAAACACTTTGTATCACCAGAGTCGCTTAGTGCCCGACAGGTGTTGTACCATTACTGGGCCCGATGGGGTGTGTGGTATAAATATCAGCCACTTGACCACATTCGCGAGTACTTTGGAGAAAAGATTGGAATCTACTTTGCTTGGCTAGGTAAACCTGTTCACAAATCATTCCATTTATCTGATTCCATGATCTTATATAAAAAAATATAACAAAAAACAAATAATTAAAAAAAAAATACAAAAACTTTTTGAGAAGTTTCTTTGGTCAGAAATAAAATTGAGATGTTGTACTTCTTCTAATGCATTAGGAATGACATAGAAATGTTTGGAAGAAGAACAATATTAGTCTTTATTTTGTAGAAAATCTAAACCTGTAAGTGTTTTTATGATGCAAATGATCCAAACTTTACCTGTAAAATAACTGTATTGAACAGGGTTCTACACGGCTTGGCTGCTACCCGCAGCAGTGGTTGGTGTCATTGTTTTCTTGTATGGGATCATCACCTGGTCCGGTAACACACCTGCGTAAGTAATCATTACTTTGTCCATCCATTTACCCATTGTTTTCATGTAAGGGATCATCACGTGGTCCAGTGACACCTGCGTAAGTAATCATTACTTTGTCCATCCATTTACCCATTGTTTTCATGTAAGGGATCATCACATGGTCCAGTGACACCTGGCCCAGTGACACCTGGTCCAGTGACACCTGCTTAAGTAATCATTACTTTGTCCATCCATTTACCCATTGTTTTCATGTAAGGGATCATCACCTGGCCCAGTGACACCTGCGTAAGTAATCATTACTTTGTCCATCCATTTACCCATTGTTTTCATGTAAGGGATCATCACATGGTCCAGTGACACCTGGCCCAGTGACACCTGGCCCAGTGACACCTGGTCCAGTGACACCTGCTTAAGTAATCATTACTTTGTCCATCCATTTACCCTGCATCATGCTTGAAAGCAGGGGAAGGTTAGGTTGGAAGTAGGGAGGGGGAAATGGAGTCAGGGGTCGAAGGGCTTATGAGGGGACAAGGACATATTATTGTGGTTTGATCCCTACCTGGTGAGTTTTTTTCTCATGACGTTGAGGTAACAAACTTCAATTTCATGCATTGATAGAATTGTCAAGGAAAAAGGATATGTGTATGTTACAATAAGGTAAGTTTTGTTTTTGCAGTAATGAGGTATGTTTTATTTTTACAGTAATGAGGTGTGTTTTGTTTTACAGTAACGAGGTCTGTTTTGTTTTTGCAGTAATGAGGTGTGTGATAGTGGTGATAAGTATAAGATGTGTCCACTATGTGATGAAGATATTGGCTGTGCTTACTGGTACCTGTCCGACGTCTGTATCTACACTAAGATTGCCTATCTGTTCGATCACCCTGCAACGGTTCTGTATGCTGTCTTTGTGTCCTTTTGGGGTAAGTATTTGACTTGCTGTTGCAAGGATGCAAAAGTTTAAAAACTCATTGCTAGAAAGAACCCTAAAGAGATATTTCTAATCCAGTATATTTGCGACAAATTTGCATCTTTCCCCTTTTTACCTGACTCATGCTGCTGGATACAAAGACATTTCATTCTATTGTTCACGATCTCCAGCAAATTAAACTGAGATGGCTGTAGGATAACAGAATAGTCTTTATATCTGTACCATTTTGATGACAGTGATGACATGAAGTGGTGAATATCTAATTTAAGAAATCTTTAGGACTCGTGTAACTAAATCAAATTCCTCTATGTTATTTCTTAGCATTTAAGCTAAGTAGCATTGATATTTGAAGTTCAAAACAAGTAACAGCTGTCTAGATTCATAGAAACATACCTGTCAAAGGCTACAAATGGTATAATTTAGTAGGTTGAATAGCATCTCAGACTGTCATTGCCTTTAGAAGTCAACAACTGGAAGTTTACAAGTTAAACTTTCTACCCACTTAGGGAAAAACCTGGACAATTTACACCTGTCTGAATCTGTCCCAGATACATTGAACTGTGTTAAAACAATAACTTTTCATGAAGCCCAACAAATGCAGATTTCTTTCATATACTATGAATTTAAACACCCAGAGGGCAAATTGTTTTAACTAATCTCAATTTTGGAAGGAACTCTAACCAGGATAAAACAGAATCCAAGTCGCTCATTAGCTGACTTAGTAGGGCTAGTCCAACAACATGAACAGTACAATGCAAAATCAGGAATGTCCCTTTTACGACAGCCTTTGTGCACTGTATCATGAACTGTTGAGATTAATAAAATTCTAGGTTATCTTAAAGATGTTGGTCTGTATTGTTGACTATGACTTAAAATCTTAATCTTTTGTGATAATATAACCATTCAAAAATTAATTTAGCATTTGTTTTTCACCTTTTAATTTGTTTGATGTTATTTCCTTTTGGGATCACTGTGTGTGTTACCAGGTGATGGCCCTAATGACCTTTTATGTGTTAATGGGCCGTTAAGAATGTCATAATGATGATAACGATAATGAAGTTTAACACTTCCATCTTGTGTTTAGTGTGATAATTTGTTGTTTCTGAAGCTGACATTTTGTGGGTTTTTTTTCAGCTGTAACATTTCTGGAATATTGGAAGAGAAAGAATGCTTCTCTTGCACATCACTGGGATGTGATGGATTTTGAGGAGGAGGAGGAGCGTCCTCGCCCAGAATACACAGCCAAAGCCACACATTATGAGAAAAACCCTATCACAGGAGTAAAGGAACCTTATTTCCCCCAGCGTGACCGTATTCCTCGTATTCTTTCTGGAATAGCAGCCATAGTTATCATGGTAATTTAGTACTATCAACTTTTTCTAAATCCAGCAAATGGCTTTGCATCTAAAACTCTGATATACTATACACATGTGTAGAGATAAGGTTTCTTAAATGTCCTAGGATTAAGTATTTAAGTCTTTGATTGTGTCAGTTAATTTTTGCTCAACAAGTCTGCTTTCATTGTGAAATGGGTCAAAAGTTGATAAAAACTCGGAGGGAAAATATAAGCTCTGAATATGTAATCAGGCTCTGTTGGTTCTTCACCCATCATACTGTTTGAATTCACAACAAAGTGAATGAACTTCTTAATCATAATGCTTGGATGGAATCACCTTTATTCACTTAGGAAACAATGAAATTGGAGTATTTTAAAAAAGGTTCAACATTACAACAAACATTGTCTTTGAACATTTTACAGATGGCACTGGTGTTGATCTTCATCGTAGCGGTGATTATGTATCGCGTGCTGATCAGCATCCCACTATTCCAGAGTCAAACCCTGCGACCAAAAGCTGCTCTAATAGCCAGCTCCACATCTGCCGTAGTCAATCTTATACTTATCATGGCACTTGGCAAAGTGTACGAAAAACTTGCCCTCAAACTTACTCAGTGGGGTAGGTAAAAAAGATAAAACTCAATTTTCATACGATTCACTCATAATAATTACAAAAAGCCTACTTGTCAACTCAAATATAAAGTGATTAAGGTTCAGATTTACAATTTACCCTCATTATAACACCATCTTTTATCTATGGTAATGTAGCGATATAATAATGGTGGAGATTGTATCGAAATTTAAAAATCACAACTATAAACTAACAAAACAATTTTTTTTGTTCAATCATTTTAATTAGAAAAAAAGTTCTTATAACACAACCAGTAGAAGATGAAAGTGTGACGTTTCTATGACTACATCAAAAAGATATAAGCAAATAAGAAATATTTAACCTGATTTGGATCTGAAATCTGTATGAAGGATAGAAACTATGAGAAATAATTGTACAACTTGGTGTTTTTTTTGTTTTTTCAGAGATGCACCGGACGCAGACAGAGTTTGAGGACCAACTTATATTTAAAGTGTTCATTTTCCAGTTTGTCAATTTTTACTCCTCCATAATATACATTGCATTCTTCAAAGGGAGGTAGGTGTAATATGTAATTCATTGTGCATTGTTTAAGAAGCATTGAGAGTAATATATGAACACAATAAGGCTAACACGACTGTATTCTGCTTGACAGATTTCAACATGATGAAGTATTGTAATATTTCTTTCATAGTCTTAGTTGCAGATTGTAAAAATACAGGATGATTATTTTATGCCTACTATTATTTCATGGGGACATACATCTTTGTATAAAATGATGTCATCATGTTGAAGACTACATTTTGGAAGCAAATTTGTAGTTGATACAAAGTTGAAATATTTAAGAATATCTAAGATAAATACAAGTTTCAGGGTCTCAAGTTCAAGGGCAAAATAGTGCTATTTATACTCAGTTATAAACTTAATTAATTGCCTTGGAATGGTAAACATATGTCACACAAAGAAGTGTTGGTTTATTTAAGCTTACAAATTGATATCATGTACATGTCTTAATTGAAAAAATGGGTCTTTAATTTGTACTTCATGATACTAATTAGACTGCAATTTTAAAATATCCATGTAATAATAAAGGTTTGTTTAATTTATTAATATAATCTGTATTTAACATTTTGATAGTAAAGCTGTATTTTCATTTGGAAACTAAAACTATGATTGATTATCAGATGCCTTGCTCCTCTAAATTAAAGAAAAGAAAATACAATGTACTGGCAGGTTTTTGAAAGCTCGGAATCAATAAAACAAAGGCTCTAAATATGAACAAAAAATAAAGATTTACATGGAAAGGCATGAAAAAATAAAAAGTAACAAGACCAGGTGATCCAAAAGGTGTAAGCGTTTTCTGCTTAATCAATGACACCTGCCATGTATATCTTGGTCAATCCAAGTATTACGCCACATTTATAACTGAGAAACAGCTTAATAATACCAAAATCACCAGGCATGCTAACAAGCACCTAACATATCTAACCTCATATTGCACAAGGAGACAGTGACGGCAAATATAAGATTTCCACATGTCATTATTACTCTGCTTCTGAAACCATGTGTTAATATAAAGGCGATCATAAAAAAAATTGATGTTTGCAGGTTTGTGGGATATCCTGGTCATTATGATAGGATGTTTGGATTACGAAATGAGGAGGTAAGTTTGACCATTCATGAAAATTATTTCCATTTTTTGATTGACATAATTTCATGATTATTATTGTTAAAAAGAAGCAGGTTTTTTTTCAAAAATCACCTTTAAATTCACAAACATTTTTTTTATAATTTACAACTTTTCATTACCATTCATCATTAAATAAAATCTTATTTTGGTTTGGCAGTGTAATAATGGAGGCTGTCTGATGGAACTCGCCCAGCAACTAGCCGTCATCATGATAGGAAAACAAATCATTAACAATGCACAGGAAATACTTGTACCGTAAGTGTATCCCTGATTAGTCATACAATTCACAAAGATAGGCAGCTAGCATTAGAACAATTTGATATCATTAGACTTTCCCGAGGTATGAGATACACTCCAAATTCTATCCAATTAGACTGTGGTTGACCAGTTGCACACAGATTCTATGTAAAGTATGCCATTGGTCTACTATCAAATCAAAGGGTGTTGGCTATTTACCTTTCCTTATTATGCAGGTATCATTTATACTTTTCACTTTTTGACTGATACGATTGAACAGCGAAGTGAATCTTAAAAATAGATGCTTACTTTCCAAAATTAAGTCTGAAACTATACATTTTTTATATTTCTGGTGTTTGTCTTTAGAAATTGTTTTCTCAGTGGTGCTGTACAGGAGGAAACATTAATGCAGTGATTTTTTGCCCTTGCATAAAACTTTTCATTTGCGTCTAATTTTGAACTCACTCTGAAAAACATTAAATTATACATTTATTAACAATAACTATCAACCTCCCTTTTGCCGTTAAGTCAAAGGATGAGATGGGTAAAAGCTTTTCTGTTTACAGTATTTTACGAAGCTTATTGCCTCTTTTTGATGTTTGAAATATAACCTGACTGAATGATGTATATTTTAAGTGAAAATCAGAGCATTTGTGTCATTAACTAAGTTAAAGTGGTATTTTTTCAGACCCTAAACCTGACAACCATTAATATTGTAACATGATGATGTGAGTTAGGCATTTAAACCCAAACTGAAATATTTTCATTGCCTATATTGCAGAAAATTAAAGTTGTTCATCCATCGTTTAAAAGTGAATCTTGACAAAAATATGGTGAGGACACGTTGGGAGGAAGATTATGAACTTCTGGATAATGAGGGCCTTTTTGAGGAGTACCTAGAAATGGGTTAGTACAATGTGTATACTTTTTGTCACTTTGATTCACAATGCATTTTAGTTTTGAAGTACCTCATGTTGTAATTATTGACTTTGTCTTTCAATGCTACAGTTTGGATTTATCAGGATATTTGTCACAGTTTTTCTGTATTAAAGTACTTCATGTTATAATTAATGACCTTGTTTTTCAGTGCTACAGTTTGGATTTATCACAATTTTTGTTGCTGCATTCCCACTGGCTCCTTTGTTTGCCCTCCTAAACAACTGGGTGGAGATACGCCTGGATGCCCAAAAATTTGTGTGCGAGACACGACGACCTGTCGCTGATCGGGCACAGGACATTGGCGTCTGGTTCTCAATACTTGATGCTCTTGCCCAGCTTGCAGTTATCAGCAATGTAAGTCGAGACAAGAAGAGAACAAGTTAAATGTTCTAAGTCAGATCTAGAGTTAAAATTGTTTTACATATTGTTCTTAGTGATTTAGTCTGGCATTGGAATTTATGTCTGAGGTTTGAGGAAAGCAACCTTTTTTTATGGTGAAATCAGACCGTTTTAGAATCCTTGTTGAATTTAGGCTATACTGTTCTATAACCTTCATTTTGGGGACATTGGAGAAACCTGAATGAACCTGCTGCACACTTTCTCAGTTCTTTAAAACTTTAATTTCTGATCTATCTATATGGCCGTGATTGCAATGTCATAACTAGAGCCTTCATTGTGATATTGAATTTATTAAATTTGATAATTTGATACAAAAATAGGTCAAGATGAGCGTCATGTTATTAAACTAGTTTGATTAGTAAAAGTAAAAACCTTGCAATTGATTTCTCTGTAGAACAGGCAATCTCCTCTAATTAGCTATGTTTTTCACCATGTAGACAATTGTGTGATTTCATTTAGTTATATATATATAACAGTAGTGTTATTATACATATCTGATGATTTTGTAGCCCTTGTTGCAGGGAAATAGGAAGGTTTACTTAGCGTCACACAGCACACTTCCCTCAGTCCGTTTATCTAGTTTTGATTGATTCTGAGTTAGTGTTTGGGATTACACTAGCTTCCTTCAGAGGCTCTTTGAAACAGTTTTCTCAAAGTTTGTGTATCTGAATTTTTGGTGTGATCACATGTCTTTTACACAGAAACATGGAATGTGGCAATTATACAGTAAATATTAGCTGTCTATAATAAATATTCGTGGGAAACTGTAAATATGTAAGTAATGTGCATGCTTTATACAATAAAGATAGGTGTTGTAAAGAATTTAAGATGTTACATACTTATCCACCATTGTGTTATATGAGTAATAATGAGTTGTTCCTTGTTGCAGGCGTTTCTAATTGCATTTACATCCGAGTTTTTACCTCGTCTCCTCTACCAATACCACTATGACTGGGACTTAAAGGGTTATACAGCATTTTCTTTGTCGACAAGTCCCAATGGCACTCTAAACCAGACATGTCTGTAAGTCAGTGTAAACAATGTTTTCGTTCTGACTTTATTGGTAAATTACAACTGTACAAAAAATGTATGTTAACTCATGACTTTGTTACCTGTCAATAGCTCCTGATCTGAACTAAGCATTCATCAGGGGATTTTGAAGCAAAAGTTGTTTTTAGCTCTTTGGTTTTGAGTGACAGTGAACTAATGGCTGGTTTTGAAAGGCATCCAAGTCCATTTATATATCCCACACCCTTCCTATTTGGTATATGCAGTTATAAGAGGAACATGATTCATGTCAAGATAGTCAATGCTGAATTCTTTTGTTTTGTTTCTTCTTTCTTTTTCTAATTTTATTAACATCTTGCAGGAAAAGTTTGATATTGGGAACAGGCCCTAGAATCAAATCAACTGCCACATGGAATTGCCATAGGTTGGAGTTGCAGGAATGTTGCGATCTAGAAACAGAAAATTCACAATAGGCAAATTGAAATCTAAACTATCATTGCATAATGGATCTTCAGTAATGCTGGTGGCTAAATGTGTAAAAATGCAGAAGGATAGTTAAGATAGTTTAATTTGCGAAGTAAATTTGAAAATACAGAAAGGTAGATGCAATTTTACAGTATTGTTTTTATTTTGATATATATACCCTGATATGGTGAAAGGTCACTTTTCAATTTAGAAATAAAGAATCTTGTGTACAAGATACCTCTTTAACCCCTGAACAGATGTATTGCTAGTCAGTGGTCAAGGTCAAAAGTCCCTTCACACTTTTGCAAATGAAAAGCTTGTGTGGAAGATTGGAGGTAGGGGGTATATCTATGTGAACCCTTGCTCACTTTGGTTTTATAAGACCATGGGATGTGGTAAACCTTATCAATCATATAATAAAAATACTGATAACATACAAATTGTTTTATTGCTTTAGGTATCGGGACTTGAGAGACAGTCATGGAAACCATACACTATTTTACTGGAATCTACTTGCTCTTCGTCTGGGATTTGTCATCCTGTTTGAGGTAGGTTGTTTCTGTCTATTTGAGGTAGACAGGGAATGTTGAACCTTGGTAGTGGTCTCATGGTGACCTATTGCGATCACCTTTGTCCAGCATTGTGCATCCGTAAACAATTTAACATTTCCAATTTTTCCTCAAAAACCCCTGAACCCATTTCTATGAAATTTTACAGACACCTTCCCTGGCCTGATGATAGCTTGATGGTAAGTCTATAATGATCCTGACTGACCCACAGGGGCTGATGGGCAGGCTAAAAGGGGTTAAAATTACTTAAAAATTTTTAAAAAAATTTTCTCAACACCCAGGTATGGTAGAATGGGTCTCACATCTCTTCCTGGGGAGGAATTTTTTTCAAACTTTATTGTAGTTTTCATAGCAAAAATTGCATTTTTGAGTATAACATTTATTTCACACTGGATATAACTTTGTAAAAATTATTGGTATAGGATGACAGTTTTGATGGTATGCATGTATTGACAATGGCTTACTATATTCAGTATCATAATTTCTTTTTCATGTCACTTGAAAGCTACCCTTTAGACTTTATATTCAATATTGCTTATCTCAGGTGACTGTCAATGCTGCTAGGCCTCTTTTGTGATTTGTGATTTAAGAACATTGACACTTATCAACTGTTGAGAAACATGCAAAAAAGACTTCAAACTTTTTATTCCCGAAAATCATTGGGGAAGCATATAGTCACTGCCTTGTCCATCTGTTGGTATACATTGATCATACTTAGTCAATATGTAGTGTACCAAATTCAGGACCCATATCCCTTGATTACAGAGTAATTGCCCTTTGTTAAAAATATATTGTCCAGATCATAACTTTGCATTTAAATTAGGATAATGAAACCTGGTGTAAACATTGATCATACAAAGGCAATGTGTAGTGTACCAGTGTTAGGGCCTGCAACCCCATTATTACAGAATTATTCCCCTTTGTTGAATTTTGTGTTCGGAGGATTACTTTGCTTGTGTTTAAACTAGGATATTGAAACATAATGTATATATCAGTCATACAAAAGCAATGTGCATTGGAGAGAAGTCTGGACCCATGACCCCTAAGTACAGAGTTATTGCCCTTTGTTAAATTTTCTGTCAAGAGCATAGCTTTGTTTACATTTAAAACTAGGATCATGAAACTTGGAGTATCCATTGGTCATATGAAGAGAATCTGCAGTATACCAAGACTTGCAACCACTTACTTACAGAATTATATTCTTTTGTTTATATTTTGTGTCCAATAAAGTTGTATTTGGGAAGCATTCATCAGTTTCAATGATACTCTTGTTGAAAGATTAGTTTTTATTTTTGGGATTCTTTCAAAGGTATTCATAGATTCAGATATTACATTTATTTGGTAACTTTCAAGACCACAAATAATATCTAAACGCTAAAACAAAGGTTGTTTATTATGATCAAAAGCAATGTGATTATAAATACAATACATTGAATTTTGTTGTTTAATATTGGGACAGCACATAGTCATAGAATAAAATATATCTCCATGTCCGGAGTCATAGAATAAAATATATCTCCATGTCCGGAGTCATAAAATAAAATATATCTCCATGTCCGGAGAGAAATCCAGTTGATATTACTATGATATAGGAACAGATTGTTTTTGTGTTTTTGATTCTGTATGTTACAGTATGTAACTGATCTAATGGTATATGCCATATATATGTATTTATCCTTTTTCTCCGTAGCATTTTGTGTTTGGTGTGTGTCGACTGATAGACATTCTGGTTCCTGATGTACCCGAGGCTCTAGAATTGAAGATAAAGAGAGAGCGTTACCTCGCCAAACAGGCCCTGGCCGACACTGATACCATCATGCAGGTGAGAAAGATTAAACACATTACTGTTAAAACCTCAGCGCGATTCTTTTATTTATGGACACAAATGATATACATGTGTTTACTTGTTAATGTCGACAAGGATCTTTTTACATTCGTTGACATAATTTATCAGACAATAAATTATATTTTCCATTTGCCATCTTCGACAAATATTAATATGCTACATTTGACAATTTTTTACATCGTTTTTTACAACAACCCAGTGTATTTTTTGTTGACAAAAACATTTTGATATGACAATTTTTTACATCGTTTTTTTTACATTTTGATATGACAATTATTTACATTGTTATTTACAACAACCCAGTGTATTTTTTGTTGACGGAACACATTTTGATATGACAATTTTTTACATCGTTTTTTACATTTTGATATGACAATTATTTACATCGTTTTTTTACATTTTGATATGACAATTATTTACATCGTTTTTTACATTTTGATATGACAATTATTTACATCGTTTTCTACATTTTGATATGACAATTTGACGAGTGACGGATTCCTGCTTCTTTGTGTTACAATGTGTTTGTGCTACAGAACGTGCAGGCTGATGATGACGAGGAGGAGGACGTAAGTTAACACTATAATGAGTGTATCCCTCCCTCACCCAACTTAACCCATCTTCCACAGGGCATCTTCGTCTGCCTTCATATCTTATGTATTTGATATGATGGAAGCAAAACATACCATAATAAGATTTTATTTGCCTGAACCCACTCAGAAAGAGACCCTTTACAGAAAGAAAATGTTGAAATGGTGAATTTTAAACTTCATTTATCCAATTTTTGTTTTAATGTGTCATATTTCAAAGATTTGTATCTGACTTTGTTAATTGTCAATACCAAAGCTAGGGACATAAAAAAAAAAAGCTGGAAAATTAAAACCATACGGTAAAAAAAGTCCTTGGTAAAATAAAGGGTTATCTAATCTCACATGAAGTTAATGACGGGTACAGGCAAACACATATTTACTGCATTTCAAAGCAAACTGAAATTTCAATTGAACTAAATTTAATTCAATCCATATACCAGTTTTTCAAAGCTTTTTCAGTTACATTTTTTTCTTTAAAAACTAACTACCTCATACCAAGAAGTTTTATTAAAAACTCTTAACTAGGTAAGCTTTGAAAACAGGCTAGGAAAGCCAGTCAGCACCTTAATGATTTGTGTTGAATGATGTAACTATGGCTGGTCTGTAGAGCCAGAGTTGGGTGTGGACATGTTGTGTATATATGTGATATCGCATGCTGCTTATGTTGTCATATCTGTAGGTACATTGTATTATTGTGGAGACCATCAGCAAATGTGGAAAACACCCTGATGATAGTATTGTTATGACCAGTTTTGTGATTTGCTAAAATGTAGCCCGTGTCCACAAAAGTAACATGTAAATACTGACATATCAACAGAATTATTTTCCGAAGTTAAGTTCAATAAAACTTGCAAAACATGGACAAAAGAAAGATGTACACATAGGCTCTTGGCTGTAAAAGTACAAGGAACTTAAGAACAGGTTATCTATATGAGTAAGTGTCCTTTGCTTTATTGAAGAATCCCACCATCTTAATCTAGTTCAATCCAGGGGAGCAATGTCACATTCCCAAATAAGAACACTGTAAACAGGGAAACTATATGTCTAAAAATACATATCCCATAATGACATAGAATATTTCCTAATGAGATCATTATGTTGACTGTCAACTTCTCCATCAGTTTCATCAATCAGCTTCAGCTGAAACCCTGTGATGCGAGTTTGTCAGTTGCTGACAATCGTTATATTAGGAACAAGCCCTTGAATATCAGATCAGCTGTGACATGTAAAAACACCATAAGTAGGGATGCTGTGAACATCAACAAGGCACAAACCAAGTTAGAATCAAGGACCAGGCTCAAACCAAGTTAGTGTCAACAACAAGGCTCAAACCAAGTTAGTGTCAACAACAAGGCTCAAACCAAGTTAGTGTCAACAACAAGGCTCAAACCAAGTTAGTGTTTACAACCAAGCTCAAAACCATTTGGTGTCAGCAACAAGGCTGAAACTGATTTAGTATCTACAACAAGTCTTAAACCAAGTTAGTGTCAACAACAAGGCTCAAACCAAGTTAGTGTCAACAACAAGGCTCAAACCAAGTTAGTAACAATGACAAGGCTCAAACCAAGTTAGTATCAACAACCAAGCTCAAACCAAGTTAGTATCAACAACAAGGCTCAAACCAAGTTAGTATCAACAACAAGACTCAAACCAAGTTAGTATCAATGACAAGGCTCAAACCAAGTTAGTAACAATGACAAGGCTCAAACCAAGTTAGTATCAATGACAAGGCTCAAACCAAGTTAGTAACAATGACAAGGCTCAAACCAAGTTAGTATCAATGACAAGGCTCAAACCAAGTAAGTATCAACAACCAAGCTCAAACCAAGTTAGTGTCAACAACAAGGCTCAAACCAAGTTAGTGTCAACAACAAGGCTCAAACCAAGTTAGTGCCAACAACAAGGCTCAAACCAAGTTAGTATCAATGACAAGGCTCAAACCAAGTTAGTGCCAACAAGGCTCAAACCAAGTTAGTATCAATGACAAGGCTCAAACCAAGTTAGTATCAACAACCAAGCTCAAACCAAGTTAGTATCAACAACAAGGCTCAAACCAAGTTAGTGTCAACAACAAGGCACAAACCAAGTTAGTATCAACAACAAGACTCAAACCAAGTTAGTATCAATGACAAGGCTCAAACCAAGTTAGTAACAATGACAAGGCTCAAACCAAGTTAGTATCAATGACAAGGCTCAAACCAAGTTAGTAACAATGACAAGGCTCAAACCAAGTTAGTATCAATGACAAGGCTCAAACCAAATTAGTGTCAACAACAAGGCTCAAACCAAGTTAGTGTCAACAACAAGGCTCAAACCAAGTTAGTATCAATGACAAGGCTCAAACCAAATTAGTGTCAACAACAAGGCTCAAACCAAGTTAGTGTCAACAACAAGGCTCAAACCAAGTTAGTAACAATGACAAGGTTCAAACCAAGTTAGTATCAACAACCAAGCTCAAACCAAGTTAGTGTCAACAACAAGGCTCAAAACCAAGTTAGTGTTTACAACCAAGCTCAAAACCATTTGGTGTCAGCAACAAGGCTGAAACTGATTTAGTATCTACAACAAGTCTTAAACCTTGTTAGTGTCAACAAATCTCAAACCTTGTTAGTGTCATCAAGTCTTAAACCTTGTTAGTGTCAACAAGTCTCAAACCTAGTTAGTGCAAACAACTCTTAAACCTTGTAAGTGTCAACAAGTCTTAAACCTTGTAAATGTCAACAAGTCTCAATCCTTGTAAGTGTCAACAAGTCTCAATCCTTGTTAGTGTCCACAAGTCTTAAACCTTGTTAGTGTCAACAAGTCTTAAACCTTGTTAGTGTCAACAAGTCTCAAACCTAGTTAATGTCAACAAGTCTCAATCCTTGTTAGTATCAACAGGTCTCAAACCTTGTTTGTGTCATTAACAAATCTCTAACATAGATTATGTTAACAACCAAGCTCAAAATTATTTGGTATCAGCAACAAGGCTAAAACCTAGTTAGTGTCATCAACGAGTTTCAAACCCAGTTAATGTCAACAACAAGTCTCAAACCCAGTTAGTGTCAACAACGAGTCTCAAACTCAGTGTCAACAACGAGTCTCAAACTCAGTTAGTGTCAACAAAGAGTCTAAAATCCAGTTAGTGTCAATGAGTCTCAAACCCAGTTAATATCAACAAGTCCCAACCCAGTTAGTGTCAACAACAAGTCTCAAACCCAGTTAGTGTCAACAACAAGACTTGAACCTAGTCAGTGTTAACAACCAGGCTGAAACCTAGTTAGTGTCAACAATGGGCAAATCTGGTTATTTTCAACAACACTGCTCAACCTAACTGGTGTCAGCAACAGGGCTTAAATCTAGTTAGTGTTAAAACTACAAGATTCAAACCTAGTTAGTGTCAACATGAAGGCTCAGAAAATAGGGTTTTAGTACTGGTCATCACAATCTGGCAAATCCTGTAATTGAAGAAAAACAAATAGTGCACCAGGCTTATAACATCAAGCTTTTAGTTATATTATATAAATATGTATACTGTTCACTAACAATGCATAGCTAATCTCTGGAGTGTATAGAAATGTAAACACACTGCTTATACCAGAAGTAGATAAAGGTAACAATATTGCTTCATAACAGAACATAGATCAATTAAGTTATGGTAAATCAGTGATATTTTATAAAGATTTTGATTCTGACATTAAAACAGAAATGTTCTCTCATGTCTTTAAATTTCCACAAAAAGATTGACTTTATTGTTTTTCTGTTCAGAAGATATGAAAGAAGTATGATTTCAGATGTATGGTTTTGTATGGTTATATTTTATGCAAGGAATCCAATATCACTGCCATAATTGCTGTACATGTTTCCTTAACAGGTTTTCTTGTCTCAGACATTTATTGTCCTTGTATTGGATTATTAGAAATCCAATATGGCTACATTTGCTGCCATTTTGAAATGCTGTTTCAGTTTTAAGTTCTACTGTACTTGTAAATTTTTACACACTTGTATGATGTGGATGATCAGCTGATATATTTTTGACGTGTCAAATCCTTGGGGCCTCAAGTGATACCACAACCAGGGATCAAACATTCATTCAACAGAAAGATTGTATATTTTGTGGTCACTTCATAAACAGACTGTATATCTAGTGGTCACTTCATAAACAGATTTGTATATTTAGTGGTCACTTCATAAACAGATTTGTATATTTAGTGGTCACTTCATAAACAGATTTGTATATTTAGTGGTCACTTCATAAACAGATTTGTATATTAAGTAGTCACTTCATAAACAGATTTGTATATTTAGTGGTCACTTCATAAACAGATTTGTATATTTAGTGGTCACTTCATAAACAGACTGTATATTTAGTGGTCACTTCATAAACAGATTTGTATATTAAGTAGTCACTTCATAAACAGATTTGTATATTAAGTAGTCACTTCATAAACAGATTTGTATATTAAGTAGTCACTTCATAAACAGATTTGTATATTAAGTAGTCACTTCATAAACAGATTTGTATATCTAGTGGTCACTTCATAAACAGATTTGTATATTTAGTAGTCACATCATAAACAGATTAAAGTATCTGGATAAAAGATCATTATGTCCTCCTTTCAGCATGAGGTCAAAGGTCAAATAATTGATAATTTTATAGTCTGATCTTGTCTAGATCGAAACATTTGAATTTTCAAACTACATCACCACCATGCATTGTGCAATCCTTTGAAATTAGGTCACTCTGGAACTGAAACTAAAATATATGTAAATCAGTCACAGACGTTGTTGATTGTGTCATTATTGTTACTAAAAATAGAATTATGTTAAATACTTCTGATATGTTAATGTTGTGATATTATGTTGACCAGAATGAAATGAAAAGTTGCCTGAATACATGTGACCAAGTTAAAGTCAATGACAAACTTTTGAATCTTTTATTAAACATTTCCTTATGACATTATGAAGGAAGCATTATCAAAGGTTAAGGTCACTGCATTCAAAGTCATAGGTCAAGTTTTCTATTTTTTAACTGGCGAATCCATTTTCAAGGAAACAAGGTGACAGGTCCCGTTCATGACTAAATCAAAGCCAGCAAGTTCATTCCTTTTTTCACATGCAAATTTAACACAAGGTAGCAATATGTTTTTCTGGGTCAAAATGTTTTTAGCTTGTAAGAAAATCCCTAGTTCTTCTAAATTTTTTCTAATTTTTGAAAGTACTGAATTACTTCATTATACAGGTACAAGAATGACAATATGGTCAAAATAAAAAAACTGACAATATTGTGAAGTAAGGATCAGCTCACTGTAACATATAGAATAGAGTACATTTTTTCAATTCAAAACTAAATGTTCACTGGAATCTTTCTACCAGTATAATCCTACAGACACAAACCAAACATCTGAAGTGCTCACTATTTCTATGACAACATTTATCAAACTACGTTATCTCTGATGCTTGCCAAAGGCATCTTGTACCAACACTGAAGAAAAGAGGGTATTCTTACCAGAAATAGGCCATTGTGACCTTTAATTAAGTAAAGCTCAGTTTTGACCTAAATACAAAGAATAAACTACATCAGATATTTTATGAATCCAGTCAAAAAATTTTCTTTGTTTGTGACCATCTAGCAAATATCAAAGTGGTAAATCTTTAATCGAGAAAGAGTTACATTTGATGTTTTTAGTTCCTGTTCTTCAATGGTGAAAAAAAAATAATAGGGCTAAATTGAGTTATTCTCATTTTGACACTTCATTGCAAAATTTGCTTTTATCAAAACTAACCTGTTATGTGGTATTTATTGAGCCCTTATGAGATTTACATGTATTCTCCTTCAAAAAGTCTACAGATACAAGAAGATAGAAAATAGATTTATATTAGATGGAAATTACTGGAAAGTATTTTTCAGGGATTTTTTCCTACCTATGGGTATAACCATTTAGTCTATATTTGTTTACTCGTCACATGTTAGCTTTATCTGACAATGAAACTTCAGTATCAGTATATAACAGGTTGTTGTACAAACCTGTTCTGTATGATAAGTTTGGTCAGCAGGTGTTGTTTAGTGAATAATAGTCCTCTGTACATATGTTGTCTGATAGCTGTAGTAACCATGTATCGTGTGATGGTGATATTGTGAGAATATTGTCAATTCAAGCCTGATGTTGTTTATTCCTAGTTGTAACTTATAAATGTTGTGCTCTGCTATCATGTAGCATTTGAAACATGGCATGAGAATTATCTAATATCAAAATGTACAACAGCGTAATGTATCCCAGGGGGCTAGTACACAAATCGAGACTGGAAGTTCACTGTGAAACATTTTTTATTGGACTTCTGTCTACTTGATGAATTTTTTATCATAACATTACAAGTCTAAAGACCCTTTTTGAAACTTTTGAGATAAATAAAATTGTAGGAAAGATGTTGGTCTGTATTATAGACTATGACATATCATTTTAATCTTTTGTGATAATATACCCATTTAAAATTGATAGCATTTGTCTTTAACCTTTTAGTTTGTTAGACATTATTTCCTTTTTGGATGGCTGTGTTTTACCGTTAGATGGCCCTGATGACTTTTTATGTGTTGACGGGCCGTTCAGAATGTCATAATGATAATAACTGATTAGAAGGAATGGGCTTTTTTTTCAGATCACGAAATAGCATTAGTTTATTATTCTGTTGAACAGTGATACACATGGTAAGGCTTATTAACAGACTTAACACCCTATAGCCAGTTACTTTCACAGGGATGATATTTTCTCTATTTTGTGTTACATTAATGTGATTGTAAAAAATTCATCTGTGAAATAATGGGAGGTGCATATTACGATTGTCATTTAAAAAAATCAGATTGCGAAACCTTTATCTCGTTCAAAAAAAATTCGTTAAAAAATAATTCAATTGTTTTAAAACCAGGTCACAAAAATTTGGACCAGTGAAAATATCCAGTGATACAGAATACTGCTTTGTTGTTTCATGATAAGTATCATGGTCAGTGTTAACTTATAATAAATGCCCACACAAAAGATTGATTTTTACCTGCAGAATCTAGGTCAAGGTCACAGGTCAAATGTTAATAACTAACACCATTACCCACAGAGAGAAAGTTAGTGAACAATCAAGGATATTTGATGACAAGTTTTGTGACAAAATAGTGAGTTTTTTAACACAAGGGAAACCGCAACAATTAAGAACAAGAACTACAGAGTCTTTTGAATTCAATGTTTGTTCAAACTGTTTTAGAAAAGGTTAACCCTTCCACAGATATTTGTATACAAAAAAATGATAAATGTTAACATTTTGATTTAGGGGGACTACGGTATTGATAAATGTTAACATTTTGATTTAGGGGGACTAAAGTATTGATAAATGTTAACATTTTGATTTAGGGGGACTACGGTATTGATAAATGTTAACATTTTGATATTTATGTTGCAGATTGCCAAAGGAGATGATGAAGAAGCTATGGGAAATGATGAAGTGGTTGTAAAAATAGACAAAGGAGATAGTTCCTAGCTGCAGATCAACACCAGATCAATGAACAGGAATTTGATGACTTACACTGTCTTTCTCTTTATTGATGGATCATAGGGGTTTTGGATATATCTGTTTTTTTGGTTGATACAAGATATATAGCTAAAGCCTTAAAAACTACTATTTTACCACTAAACCTTTCTTTGGTCATCACCTCAGGTGAAATCTAAAATACTTGTCATTTATTTATACAGTTAGGATAGAGTGACCACCAGGGGAAAAAGGAGTCTTAGAACGGTAAAATCACCACATTGTTGAAAACAATCTATTTAAATATCAAATTGTTAAATGAAAAAATTTTAACAAATATTTTTCCCTATCATTGTATTGGTAACCCCTTGGATTCTACTATTATGATCAGTGTATGAAATTAATTATTTGAATTGGTATTTTTTCATCTTTTTTCTAAACTGTTTTTTTACCTTAACAGTATATTTGTGCTGACTCCATTGAGGTTTCAGTGTGTTATTAATCTTACTCTCAGTGTTTATCTGTGATCTTATCAAATGTCTTCAAGGTTGTGAAATCCCTAGCTATTGTCTTTACCAGAAATAAACCAAGACTTAAGAATACTGATCTCTGATTGACCGAATCATTTCTGATATCCTCTGCCTTAGTGAAATCTCTAGCTGTTGTCATTACCAGAAATAAATTAAGACTTTAGAATTACTGGTCTCTGATTGACTGAATGATTTCCGATATCCTCTGCCTTAGTGAAATCCTGATTGATTAATACATTATTTATCATCATAATTTGGTCATGTCTTTTTGTCCGAACCCTCTCTCAAATATGATATTATTTTTTGCAGAGCTATCACTTATCAAAATTTTTGTTGAAGATTTTGAAAAAAAATTCTACATGTGTATGTTTAACTCAACTTAGGGAAACAAACACTCAAACAAAGGTGTAGTTTGTTATAGAATTGCTGAACATTCACGTGCTGGTTAAAGTTTAGTCTTCAGTTGCAAACAATCACAATATCATAAACGTGGTTATGACCAATACTTGGTAAAATATTTCAATGTTTACTATATTTTGATCTAATATGTGTTTAAGTACAAATATGCTTCAAGAAAACTCTTTATCTTTCGAAATAAATGAGAAATAATTCTGTTCAAACAAAGAACATTATTTGTCTTTTGATGAAATCACTAGAAGAATATTGTTTTCTTGAAAATTTACTTTTGAAGTCTTCAGATGTTAGTTGTTGATATTTGTAGAGTAGAATTATGCCCCCTGTGATATGTGAATCTTTCACCTGTAATGTTAATCAGTACACTTAAAATTTGAATCATGTACCAGCAGTGTGAATCATGTACCTGCAATGTGAATCATGTACCAGCAATGTGAGTCATGTACCTGCAATGGGAATCATGTACCAGCAATGTGAATCATGTACCTGCAATGGGAATCATGTACCTGCAATGGGAATCATGTACCAGCACTGTGAGTCATGTACCTGCAATGGGAATCATGTACCAGCAATATGAGTCATGTACCTGCAATGGGAATCATGTACCTGCAATGGGAATCATTTACCTGCAATGGGAATCATGTACCTGCATTGGGAATCATGTACCTGCAATGGGAATCATGTACCAGCAATGTGAATCATGTACCTGCAATGGGAATCATGTACCTGCAATGGGAATCATGTACCAGCAATGTGAATCATGTACCTGCAGTGGGAATCATGTACCTGCAATGGGAATCATGTACCAGCAATGGGAATCATGTACCTGACTGTAGTGTTAACGTATAGAAAAGTGATATTTTCTTAGTTATTTAAGTTTATACAATATTTCACTATCAAATCCAAAACCTGAAGGTTTGTTTAGAGGGTGAATTGAAGAAAGAAGATGAATCCAGAAAATTGTACAGGCTCTTAAATTGAGAATGTGAAATACTCAGTAATCTGCTTGAAACAAAAAAATGTGAAGGCAATTTTGATAAGAGTTATTTTATAGTGACCAGAATATACCACTGTTTGGTGAGATGGTACCATTGACAGTTCAGCAGCTCTCTGTATCTACGTACATGTAAATGTGTATCTGAAATATGGAGGAAGGTTATAAATTCACTTCTACAATCTAATCTTATCTATGTTATTACTGTTACTTGTGGAAACGTGCTACAAAGTGGCCGTTAAATGACATCAATTGGTATACATTTATGTATAATGTATACATACATTTTTTATCTATTTTTTACATTCCACAATAATCTCGTTATTTGTGAGGAGTATAATTGCCCAATTAAATTTATATATGGTATATAGGGAACCATTTTGACACCATACAGCCTGTGTTTGTAAACTGATGTTGATGTCATACAGCCTGTATCTGTGTAAAGGGAATCGATATGATACTATACAGCCTGTATCTGTAAACAGGTGTCATTTTGATATCATACAGCCTGTATCTGTAAACAGGTGTCATTTTGATATCATACAGCCTGTATCTGTATTAAGGGAATCAATATGATACTATACAGCCTTTATCTGTAAACAGGTGTCATTTTGATATCATACAGCCTGTATCTGTAAACAGGTGTCATTTTGATATCATACAGCCTGTATCTGTAAACAGGTGTCATTTTGATATCATACAGCCTGTATCTGTGTAAAGGGAATCAATATGATACTATACAGCCTTTATCTGCAAACAGGTGTCATTTTGATATCATACAGCCTGTATCTGTAAACAGGTGTCATTTTGATATCATACAGCCTTTATCTGTAAACAGGTGTCATTTTGATATCATACAGCCTGTATCTGTGTAAAGGGAATCAATATGATACTATACAGCCTTTATCTGCAAACAGGTGTCATTTTGATATCATACAGCCTGTATCTGTAAACAGGTGTCATTTTGATATCATACAGGCTGTATCTGTGTAAAGGGAATCAATATGATACTATACAGCCTGTATCTGTAAACAGGTGTCATTTTGATATCATACAGCCTGTATCTGTAAACAGGTGTCATTTTGATATCATACAGCCTGTATCTGTAAACAGGTGTCATTTTGATATCATACAGCCTGTATCTGTAAACAGTTGTCATTTTGATATCATACAGCCTGTATCTGTGTAAAGGGAATCAATATGATACTATACAGCCTTTATCTGCAAACAGGTGTCATTTTGATATCATACAGCCTGTATCTGTAAACAGGTGTCATTTTGATATCATACAGCCTGTATCTGTATTAAGGGAATCAATATGATACTATACAGCCTTTATCTGCAAACAGGTGTCATTTTGATATCATACAGCCTGTATCTGTAAACAGGTGTCATTTTGATATCATACAGCCTGTATCTGTAAACAGGTGTCATTTTGATATCATACAGGCTGTATCTGTGTAAAGGGAATCAATATGATACTATACAGCCTTTATCTGCAAACAGGTGTCATTTTGATATCATACAGCCTGTATCTGTAAACAGGTGTCATTTTGATATCATACAGGCTGTATCTGTGTAAAGGGAATCAATATGATACTATACAGCCTTTATCTGCAAACAGGTGTCATTTTGATATCATACAGCCTGTATCTGTAAACAGGTGTCATTTTGATATCATACAGGCTGTATCTGTGTAAAGGGAATCAATATGATACTATACAGCCTTTATCTGCAAACAGGTGTCATTTTGATATCATACAGCCTGTATCTGTAAACAGGTGTCATTTTGATATCATACAGCCTGTAACTGTATAAAAGGAATCACACTGACACCATACAGCCTGTAACTGTGTAAAGGGAATCCTTGTGACACACACAGTATGCATCTACAAATATTTACATGGAAACATTGCTTGTGTACAAGTTGTTTGGTTGCCCTGATGAAGTTTTGTAGCTCTTTGATAATGTTGGAAGAAGTTCTCGCAATGATGAGGATAAGACTGGTGTATTGAATTACCTTTTTTTACCATTTAATACTCTTCTGTATTTTTATGCATGTTGTTATCTTCTTTATGAATATTTGTTAAATTTGTATTGGTATAGTGTTTCTTTTGTGTCTAAATCACATCGCAGTATAAACAAACACTGAATAATAACATGACATCTTAGATGTCTTGTTATAACAGACCAATCACATCTTAGATGTCTTGTTATAACAGACCAATCACATCTTAGATGTCTTGTTAAAACAGACCAATCACATCTTAGCTGTCTTGCGATAGAAGACCATTAATGGCTTAGATATCTTACCATAAACACATAAAGAAATCTAATGTAATTTGATGGATTTGGAGATGTTTATCTGGTATGTTTTTTCCTTTGACTTGAAATTGATTTTTTCCTTAGAGCATCTGTGATCCTAGTGCATTGTAGGAAGTTCTTATCAACTCAAATTTTCTAGTAAAGTTATTCATTGTGTCAACTTGTAACATCAAGTTTAATTTGTTAAATTTTCAGAGATTTTACTACACCTCATTATGAATGTTATTACATAGTACCTTTGGTATAATAAATCTCCCATTAATTATAAGTTAATTGGACTAAATTAAAATGAATTTATACATTGATAAGTAAAAGGAAAAAAAATCAACTAGTTAACACAGCGTGTTAGATCTTACTCTCTCAATTTCTACCAAGGTATTTAAAATTTAACATTGTAGATCCTGTATTATGTCATCAAAACTTTTCAGATATTAGTCCACAGTGTGTGTCTGTAAGATATACTTGCACACTTTTCGTTTGATCCTGTCTTGAATTTAATTTTAAACATGATGTTTGGTGGAGGCTAGTGTAAAGTACTACAGAGATCAATGTCATATATATATAAATGTAAACAGTGATATATCTGTGATGGCTATAAAGGCAGACTGGATGTGATCTTAATCTTGATACTTCATCTGTAGGTACTGATGGTAAGAATGGAAAAGTGAGAGGGTAAAAGAGAGAGTGAAGCAGACAGAAAGAAGGTCTTGGTTAATATCATATATTCACATTGTCATTATGTTGTCAACACTTTCATACTGCTTTAGAAATGTACTACAAATATCTCTGAGATAGTGAATATCACAGAACACAAAGCATCACAAGTTCAGCACATGTCAAAATAACCTTGAATATCCCTTGCCCTGTGTTCTACTGACATAGTGTGATAACAAGTCACTAGTTTATGCATGGAAGTGGTATTCAAGTAATGGCAGTGACAGAAGTAACAATGGTGACAGACACTATCTATTCATAATCAAGTTTTATTTCATTGCCAATAAACTTGTGTTTATCCTTACATCTGAATTGATTTGTAGTTTATTTTTATCTTATTTATGCATTTTTTTTTAACTTTTAGGTATCATACCTGGTCCTTCCTCATCCGTCATCAACTTTTTCTGTAAATGATTACTTCTCAAAGAACTGCTGACCACATTTCAACCAATGACTTGAAGCATCTTTGCCAAAGGCAATCAAGACTGTTAGGAAAGTTTAAGATAAAATAGCAACATTAACCAGAAGAGCATATATCTGTAAATGAACGATCACAAATAGAAACTTTGTGGGTAATACTGGCCCAATGGGCCTCTTGTTCACAAGAATTGAATCTGTTTCCTTTGACCAAAGTTGACTTCAGTTTCACTCACATTTAGCTACTTGAACTGAAATGAGCTAACTTAAGCCATACCTTCCTTCCAGCATATGGTTGTTCAAATGTTCTTAAATGACATCTATACATGGCCCACCACATACTGATTATACCTCATTGACAATTCACGGCAGTCGTATTTAGCTTAAAACTAGATCAATATCTATATATTATATATCTATAATATATATGGAAAGCGTAGCAATATGTGCCCTAAAGGTAAGGGGTAGGTCAAGGCCGAGTGTTATGCGCATGTTTTTTGTTTTTGTAATGATCAATAATCTTGCTGTTGAGCTATATATCATAATTCGGGGTTAAAAGTGACAAATATATACATACCTTATTTATCGGAATTTATAAAATATAATTCTGTTATTGCAGAAGTGGCTACCCCAAGTACTACCCAGAAAACATGTACTGGGATATCCTTTACGAGACTGGTGTGAAAACTCTTGCTGACAATGACATTCATATAAAAATAAAAAAATATTTTGAAATGTTTTATTAAAAATCATGTTACAGAGTTCTATTAAAGCGGATAATTTAGCTAAGTACAAGGCGAAAGTCCATAAATGAGCTGATGAAATATTCAATACTTTTTTAACGTGACCATTTGTTAATATACACAGAAAATCGTCGATGTGGAAAATAGAATGTTGACATTGTTTTTCATTTTCTGCTTTAGTGGCCTAAAGTATTTCATTCTTGTGATCTCATGACGGGGAGTGTCCTGAATACATTACAGACTCCCTTCTATATTTTGCCAAAGTTAAACAAATTTATATTACAAAGGACCGTGTATTTTTTTGTTATTAAGAGATTAATCAAATTTACACTTGAAGTTTGATATGGCAGTTAACCTAAATTAGTGAGTAAAATGGGCACATTATTATAATTCTGTTTTTCTACTGATGAACGGTATCTCTATGTAAATTGAAATATAAACACACATAAATCAAAATTAATTGACTTTAATCTATTTGTATTAAGAGGAAATAAAGAATGTCTGTCTGTTCGTCTGTCTAGCTGTCTGTCTAGCTGTCTTGTCTGTCTGATTAAGTTTGACCAAGCACATAGGATTAGGGAGGTTGTGCGTTTACCAAGGAATACGGTAAATTACAAACAATGAAACGATCTCGCAAAGGTAAGCTCGATCAAGCGTAGGGAGATTTATAGAAGAGACGTCAAATCACATATAACTCCAAAGAGTTTAGAAAACGGGAACACTTGGGGTATATGTGTGTTATAGTTTTCAAATATCTCGTGGTAGAACTTTCCCAATAAAGATTTGTGATAAAATCCTAAAAGGAAAAAAAATGTTTGGCCGTGAGAATGTTGGATTACTGAGGAAGATGTGTTTGATATACTAGGATACTGTTATTCCAAGGAAAACCAGGGGTGGGAGATGGTTATCTTATATAAACCCAATTACAAAATGAAAAGACAACAACAAAAACCGAAAAAAAAAAGAAAAAAAAGAGAGAAAAGAAAAAATCATTCTCTGGCTATATGCGAGTTTTCTCTTCGAATTTATCGACAAACTTATCAAAGCAAAGTCCTTTAAAGATGAAGATGATGTCTTATCTTTAAAGAAAAAAGATTACTAGTTATGTCCATCTTATATTTCATCCAGAATTATAAATCAATTTCTATATATCATCTTCGTCTTCTGATACCAAAACAACATCTACAATTTGACCCTACAAGTCCTTTTTGAGTCCGAAGATGTCTTCACCTCTTTTGTGGCCGTAGTACCTTTCCGAAGGCCGTCAACAAGCAAAGTTTGTAACTCAAGCGAAACATGTGTAGCTCGTCTCTCTTGGTGCTGGGGTAGAGAGACTACATATTGTCCTGTTTGTACTTCAGTTGTACGATCTGTTCACAAGCCCGTCGGAATAGTTCACACTGTCAAATAACGTGAAGCGTTGGTGAAGTGGAGAGTTTCGGATTCTGGCCTTCATGTTTTTCCAAAGTGTGAATGGTAAATTCAGAATGTTCATCGGTCATAAAGACATAGTCACCGGTGTCATCACATAAAACTGAGCATTGCCACAGTAGAAAAAAAATGTCTTTTAAAAATGTTGTGGGTAATCAATTTCGAATTGTCTTTTTCCCCTTAGTGTTATGGGTTACTTTAAGATATAGTTAACGGTAGATGTTGTTGATCCCTTCCGATCTGAATCCTTGATCAAGAATTTTCAATTGTTAATCTTCGAATTTTTATTGCTTCAGCAGTAATCAATTGTTATGTTCAAATGTATTTTCACATTCTAAATCTTCTCACAATTTTGTTTGTTTTAAACCAAATCCAGGGGGGAGGGGGTGTCTTTATCATGCACCCCTGACCAAATCAGAAGTTTCTTCGTATTTGACAAAAGTAATGTGTAAAATCGTATAGGACACAGAGTCAGACGATGAGAAATCAGCCCATGAAAGAGATGGCTATAGTGCACGAGTGTCCTTTAAACCACAGGGGTTCTCAGCTGGGGTTTTACTGACGCGCCCTTCGAAATAACTGACCGTATGCACTCATATAATAAATCATTACGTTTTTATTCATAAGATATTTTTTATCTAAATTGTAACACTATAAATCTTATAATAATAATTGGAGGTGGTTATTTTTTGTTCGTGATTTTGATTATGGATATTTATGTTATTTCACTAATTTAAATGCAAAATAAGACCGAGATGTTATGTACCATAGTATTACGAGCTAGTAGATGTGTAACCTCTATGTATAGGCTAAAACAGATACCTATATAACCATGGTTGCACGTGTCTCCGACTCTAAGTCTTATAAAATCACTCATCCATGACTGACCCCATTCTGCCTGTGTGCTCACGTGCCATATTTCAGATTGTTCGTGAAAATATTGCTACTTAATTTGTTAATTGAAACAAAAAATACCTCTCGACAGGTGGGTTTTATTACCTGCATTGTATGCATATAAGCATAAACCCACCCCGACGACTTTATGGAACCCATATAAACATACACAAAACAGAGAATGGTGGGTGTGTCTCTGTTCCAAAAGGAGGCCTTCAAACGTTACTATGTCCTTTAATGAAAAAAAAGGTTAGATTCAGTATAGCCAGATAATGAATTAAGCTTCTCTTTGCAACAGTTTCGTCCTTAATCTTCTCGGCAGTGATATTAAGGGGCTAAAATTTCAAAGTCCAAGAGGCGACTAAAACAAATCCAAAGTGATCAAAAGACACTGGGCAATTGTCCCTTGTGTTGAATCTCTACTGTAAATTCTATTAGCATAGATAATAAGATGAAGAGACAAACATGATCCATTTTCTATTTTGAAAGAAACTTTGACATTTCAAACTTGTGTCCCTGCTTCCGAATGAAGCAGAAAATGCTAAACCTAGCAGAACATCTTGTTTTATTCACCTTGTACATTTTCAACGGCTTCCGTGTACATATTTTTTATGCTCATACGTTGTTCTCTTTTAATCTATTGTGAGTTTGAATTGGATTTTAACATGTCGTCAACAGAAGTTTGGATATTTCTTGTTTTTGTTTTTTTCCATATCATGAGAAAAGGTTTGGGGATGTGGCACTCTTGTATCGACTGTCTCTTCTTATCATTAGATATAAATATAGATATAAGCGAGAATCGATAAATAAGAAACACAATTTAAATTATTTTATTCTTATTTTAAATCTTCCTTGTGATAATTCCGGATATTTCGTCCGGTCTCAGTATTACGTTCTACATATGTAAGCGTCTAAATAACTTGGATTTGTGTAAGTCTCAATGGCCGCCCTAGTTAATGGGCATTCTTGTACTTACGATGATTGAAGACGAAGAACTGACATCTACTTGAAGACGATGCCGCTGCACTGCATCGGCGAGAGGAGGTAAGCATGTATGCCACAATATAGCATATATGCATTAAAAAATGACGTAAGAAGAGTTTCACACTCTGATTCGTTCAAATGATCATGTCGACCACAAGCCTGCCTGTCAAAAATCTCTCTTCTGTAGATATTCGTCTAGAAATGAAATTACTGAGGTTGACAGAGAGTCGCCACTGAGATAACAAATTAGATATTTAAGCAGTCTTCGTATTTTGATTTCACACACTCGGTTGTGTTCAATTTTTTTCTGACCCCATCGCCATTTTTAGCTGTAGTTATCCTGTACTTCAGTACTGTTTTACGACCCAAGATACAAGAAATTTTATTTGTTGTCGTATGCAATTTATCTCAGAAGAGCTATTATTACAACAAATATATGAAAAATATAACACAAAGAATATCACAGAAGAAATAGCGAAATGAAATTCAACAAGCATACACAATGTGATAGACATGGTATCAACATAAAAATTAACACAGTGAGTTAATGGTACACAGCACAACTAAAACATGCTATAGCTTAATGAAAATACAAATTTTAAAACAGAACTAATTCATTTAGAGATTGATTTTCGGTAAAATCAGGAAACAATCAAAGTCTTCTTTTGGTAGTAAAAATATTTTTTTAGTAAGAAAAAGAAAAAAAAGTATTGTTAAAACACATGAAGCAAGAGAGATATAATAGCAAAAGCATATCCTAGTAAGACAACAGTATTACTGAAAGGTCAAAGAACAGGTAGTTGGGTCAGTACCTACCAACCTTATTCCTTGACCAGACTAAGAAATGTTAAAAGAAGAATAAAAAATTGTAACAAATAACAGCCAAAAGAGATCAGTCGATTCATCATTGCACAGACAGATGTACAAATGGGATTATTCCAGGTGTAGATCAGCCTCTGGAATTCTGGATATAGACCAAAGATAAATTGATCATTTGGTATTGAATTTTTAAGTCAAAGCAGACAGAGAAAAAAACGGAATGGCTAGAAAACAAGCACACTGGAAGCTCTGAAAAGGTTAGGGGAATAATATATTTTTTTGCATTAAAATGAAGCAAATATTTCTGGGTTGTTGTTGGAATAATTTATCAATTTACAGTAACCATGGAGGACACTTTTCTTCCACTTTGATGAACACCGTTCTATTTCTGAAAGTGACCATAATCAGTAAAAATGTAATATATATCAATATTGGTTTACCATTATCCCACATCCATGCATATGGCTATAAGCTAATAACCTGACTCTAGCTATTTGCAAGTGATACTGTCAGCATCCTACTGGTAGGAAATGGAAAGAAAGGACACTTATGTATTGATTAATGTTACACTTTACATCATTACTAAATAATTTTATATCCAAAAATATTTAACTAAGAGCTGCTGTATCCCTGTTAATATGCATGATTCACCTAATTATAGAAACATTTCTCTGGCACTGTTGATAGGGTGGTTGGTTATGTGTTTGTTTTTAATGATGAGGTCAAGATCTATTGCTTATTTGCACTTATATTAAAAAAACTTGTAAAAATGCAACTGATCATCATAGCCAGGAAATCAGTATATTTTGAGTAAACGCAATGATAGATGAAAGAGATTGATTTATATACAGTACATGTAACTATGCACTGAAAATATTAGGAATTGGTGCAATAGTGAACCTTTTGCAAACTTTGCATTGGGAATGCAATCTGACATTCTACCGCTTGACTAAAGAGAATTCCTAGTAGTTGAGAGTAACCAGATGACCAGCACTCTCAACTTCTGCTTGTATATGTAGGTGCATATGTAATATAAATAGGAAACAGAAATTATCCTGGTCATGGTTTGGCATTATCACACCGTCTACACAAACACCCTACCACTAGGCTAAAAGGAAAATTCCAATAGCCAAAGGTGATGATTATGAAACAATCATGAAGTCAAGTTTTTGCTTATGATGTTTTCTGTGATTGACTAAGTCAAAACTTCAAGTTTTGGAGTTAAGATCCTGGGGCTTCGCCTTGGATGTTTTATAGAAATTTTTATGTAACTTGGTAATTTTATTTCGTGTACAGGAGTCCCTCTGAGATCGATAATGATGAGGAGACATGTCCCAGTATTTGGCAGAAGTCACCAGATTCCATTTTACTGGACATTTTCTATTCTCTGAAAGCTTGTGATCTGGTACGAGCTGCACAGACCTGTAAGGTAAGCGATTAAGGATTGTGGTATTTCAAGAATGAAACATGTCATCATGTATTTTTTTTTTTGTGACATTCTCTGTTATAAGGTATTTCAGAATTTAAAAGAAAAATAGTCTGGCTCATTTAAAGTTATTTTGTTGTGTATTAACATTTCATTTATCAGCTTAAGCTTCAAACATCAATTAAACAAATCATACCCAGATTTCTTCTGTAAAAGCCAACAGAGTCTAAACATAATGAATTAGTTAAAGTAGAGGAGTGAACTCATTTCAGGACAAACGTTTTTACTCATTGATGATGTATTTATTGGGAAAAGATTACCACATGATCTAGACAGTGTGCCAGAATGTCACTTGCTTCATTACGCTGGTATTGAAAACTGTTTTGGGATACTGCCAGAGTGTTAAGAAAAGAGAGTGCAGAAAAAGACAAACTATCTAGACTGTTTAGAAATACATTTTAAGACTGGTAGTTTCCAGAATTCCTCCTTCGGTTTTCAGATTTTTCACGAAGATAGACATCTTTGGATGCTTGAAAATTTCAAAGGCTCAATGATTCTTGACTAAGCAGTGGTTTTTAGATCTGAATCATTCTGGTTATTTATGATTGTTAAAATGATGTTTCTGATTGTCTGTGTATACACTGTCAAAGGTCTAGGCTTGGTGGGCAATCAATGATTTACCATGTAAATGGTGTTGACTCTGATTACGGAGCCTTTTAAAAGATGATTTAGAGGTCTGACTTGGTGTTGACGTTAGTTAGGGCTTGGCATCAAAGATGCAGGTGAACTGTTTATTGATTAGATTCCCTTCTTTGTTTCAGCACAATATCACAAGTTCTGTTGGACCAATTGTGCTCAGACTTTACTCAATAGCTCTTTTAAGGGAGTGTTTACTGTTACTACAAATAGAATATCTCTTTCTGCAAAATGTCTTTATTTCTGTTTAGATGACTACACTCAGGCTTTCTCCATTGCCTTTTCTCAAGAAGTGTTAGCTTTCAATTGCTTTTCATGTTCAAAAGTCAGGGTCACATTTACTATAAATAGAAATGGGAATGAATACACAGCAAACAATTGTATATCTGAATGTTAATGGTAAATATGTATTGTTTATAATGATGCGTAATGAAATGAAATTGATATTTTTTGTGACATAACTCCGTGATATTGTCTGAAATCAAACAAGAAATTGACCACCCACAACAAGGAGCCCTTTCTAACATTTGTCTGTACTCTAGTTATTGAAGGTTAAAAGCAGTTGATCACATTAACTTGTAAAAGTGAAATGAATGAAATGATATCATGATCATGATATATGTTAAACAGGACTGGCACCGTGTCTGTCAGGATGAAAGTTTATGGAAGGGCTTGATGCAAAGTCAATGGGGTGTGAAAACAGTTTGCCTTCCACCAGGGAAGGAAAGTTGGCAGGCTGAGTATCGCCGTCTCCACTACCTAGCCCCTACTCAGCTCAGTGAGACATTAACAGACCATAATGATGAGGTGCTTCATGTCAGCTTCTCTCACCGTGGTGACATGTTTTCAACCACCTCCAAAGATGCCACCATCAAGGTAGGTTGACTTCTCTCACCATGATGACATGTTCTCAACCACCTCCTAATATAAAACCATAGGTAGGTCAGCTTCTCTCACAGTGGTGACATGTTCTCAACCACCTCCAAAGATGTCACCATCAAGGCAGGATTTACTTTCTCGGTAATATATTCCATAAAACCTGTAAAGAAAGGACATGGTAATATACATGTATATAAGATAAGTGAGCTTCAGATGATTTTTGTATAAATAGGAATTGATGTTTCTATCACTTAAGTCTATACATTTGTACATGCATACCTTGATAAAACAGTTCTCCTGATAAACATATGACATGTGGTCTGTTATTTGACTCCATTGATAAAGAGAATTATTTTTCTTTTAACACATTTTACAGGTGTGGAGTGTTGGTTACCCAACTACAATCAAATACTCCAAGGATTTTCGTAAATTACTTTCCTGGGATTTCACTCAGTTCTCCTGTTTTAACCAAAGTGATAGCATGTTGCTGGTGTCAAGTGTCAAGACGAGGGACTTCATTGATAGAAGGGGATTTGTAGCTATCCTCTCCATTCTTCACGGTAAATCAAACTAAAATTTTACTGTAATTATCCTTCAGTAAGCTTAGGGGTGACAAGGAAATGTAGGTAGGATTTAAGCCGAGATTATTTTAAAAGGTATTTGGATCTAAAAAAATTTGCACACATCGCCAGCCCAGGGCAGGTAAAATCATTTTGTTCACTAGCCCTGATGTTCTTTTCAAAAGCCCAGAACTTAAAACCTCCAGTTTGCTCCTTGCAATAACAGTCCAGCCATGTAAAGTAGCTAGCATATTAGATACATTTTATATGGTCATGTAAAACTTTGTTAATACTGTAAATCACCTCTATACAATGATAAGTATGATAAAGTCCAAAGCAATGACAACCATAACCAAATCACTTATACTACATATGTAGTTCAGTGAAATTAAACATTAATGGAAATTATCAAAAAAAATTCTTGAAATAAATAATGACTTGAATTACACAATCAAATAGTAATAATATAACAAAACATAAACAAGTGAATTTACAGTAACTCATGCGAGCAAAATTTTGGTAGATACAACACACGCTATTCTCTAACAAGGGATCCCGACTTGCTGACAGATTGCAATCAGGCACCTCAAGTCCTATGGGCATTATCAGCTGTGTTGTATTCATTGCTTATCAGTTCGATTAGTCTGGTGTTGAATTTGGCATGTTCTGTTATTGAAAACATGCTTTTTTCGTTTTTGAATTACTTTTTTGCATTTAGATACATCAGAGAGATTCTTGTATTGTGACAGAGTAACCTATATCAGTATAGATTTATTTTTAGAAAATGTGACTTGGAAGTAGCCAATCAAAATAGAGTATAATATTGAATCATGATTTCTAAAAGTAGACGGCAAGTTTTCCTTTTCCATGACTATGTTTCCACCATGGCCAGGACGCTTACAATAAACAGACTGACAATGCAGTAGGCCTATAAACAAAAGGGAAATACACGCAAATTACAACAAGGAAGCGTTAATGATTGAAGATTTTAATGCACAAGTTTGAGGCTAACTGATACCAATTTTCCACGAGCCTGATCTCAAGCTAGCACTACATGTCAATCTAGTAGTTTTTTACAGTCCTACGGGATGTTGACTCTATGAGAAATCATATTCAAAACTCTAAAAGTTAGGTGTGGGCCTATTATCGGGCATGAGTGTATTGCTTGATAAATGCTGCATTCCAAACTTATTACTGTGCTTGATCAAGTACACTTTGATTGGCATCGCAATTTTAAGAATAATTCCAGTTAGTAAAATTAGCCGTAGTTGAATGTGAATGCTGATATTCTTGAGTATAATACATTTTAGACATTTAAGATAAGGTCATGCTGTCATTTGCCTGATGTTTTTACCTGTGTTTTAGATTTCCATATACTACGGGTGGTGGCGATGGACCCCTCCCAACTATTTGGAGCTTGGCTTGATGACAGTACATTTCTGGGTGGTTGTTTAGAGATCAGCCTTGACCGTTTTGCAACCACAGTACAGATTGAATCATTTGAGGTAAACAACCATTGTAAAGATGGAATATTACAAGTTTCTTTTCATTGCTATTTTCAGAAATAGAAGAATAAAATTGCGAAGAAATAAACATGTCATTAAAATAAATAGTGAAATCCATTCTCCTGTGATTGGTGATTCAACTTACTGGTTATAAAGTGAACATTGTGGGTGAGACTCACAAGTTGCAACTATTGTGGATTTTGGGGTAAAATATGTATTCAAGGTTTGAAGTCTGCAACCTTAACCAAAGGCATGCACTTGAAGAAAACAGCCAGACATTACTATTGATATCCTAAAAATTAATCTAACAAAATTTAATTATTTACTGTCTGTAACGCTGAATACTGTTAACCTTCTCACTAGTGTGTTTGATATACTTTTGTAAATTATAAGATTAAACAAATATTTTTGAAAGTTAAGCACCTCTTTGATAGAAATGATAAGCAATAATTTTCGGTTGTGTAGAGTTCAATTGTAGTATATATGGAATATAAAGAATCTACAAAATAATCACCAATTATGTTATTTATTATCTTAGGTCCAGGCGTCTCAACTGGCTGAGTTGTTATCAGAGGGCTGTTCAGACATGTGTGTAGAGGAGGGAGGAGGCAACAGCCTATTTACATTCTGTAGTGAGACTGCCAGTCTCATAAAATTCCTCACTGTAGCCAATGTCCCGGTGCACCCTAATGACCCTGATGACCTCAGTGACCACTACTCAGACTCCGATATGGAGGCTGAGGGGCCTGGTGACAGAGCTGCAGATGAAAATATGGAAGGCAATTTTGGATATGAAAATGAGGCAGGTTGTTCTTCCTCTAGTGGAGTCAGGGCTTCGGGTTGCTGTGTGGACTATAGCAAATGTGGATCTGCATGTGGTTCTGTAACAAAGGACCAAACAGCAAGTACACAGAATATGATATTTGTGACTGGTGAGTTTGCTGTGGCATTGCATCAGGTCGGATTTAAAAACTTATCTCCCTCAATCTCACTTGACAATACAAAGGCAAAGCCATACCGTGACAGTGACCTCAGTTCTAACTCGGACCTAGATGAACTAGGATGTGAACCAAGCCAAGAGGAGAGTCACATGGTTGTCAACTTCAGCAATAATGATATACAGCTACGGCGAATAAGGAAATCTGACAAGCCAGATCACCTGATAGATCTCTATGGTCATGTTACAGGATTGTGTTTGTCAAATGATCACAGGTAAATAGCTTATGTGTTCAGCAATAAACCTTTCTAGATCTGTCAGTGACGATTTGCATCACAAACTAAACAAATTTCTATCAAGGCCATCCACAGATTTTTGAGGCAAGAAGTTATCAGCCCACTTGAACTTTTGCAGATGAATAACTCAAAAATGGTAAACCTCTCCCAATCCCCCCATCACACCCACCCCCATGAGGATGAAAAAAATGTCTTAGGGTCCACCTTACAGATACAAACTATTTCATGGTCCTAATAGACTTTTCTTGTTGTTTTTCCTGTTGTTTAATGGTATATTTTGATTGATTTCTATAAATGACATTGTGCTTGACCTATTCCGATACGTGAATGTCTTTTTTTAGATATTTGTTCCTCAATTGCCGGCCATGGATTGGGATGGTGGATCGTACCGACCCTTGGGCAACCCCTGACCTCTCACCATCAATAGAGGTCAGAGTAATTGACCTTTGTACATTGAAGGACACAAAACTGAGATACACTGGCCACAAAGGCTTTTCTCCTTCAACTATGTGTTGTTTTGTGTTCCTTGATGTCAGTCAGGATTATGTTGGCAGGTAATAAGTAATTTTAAACTTCAACAAGGAGTTAGGAAACATATTTTTTTCTCAATTATGATATTATATTAGAGTAAACAATATATGACTCCTGTAAAACCTCTCTTAAAGGTCATTTTGAAAGAAAAACCTGTTTATAAAGACCAATTGTCTGTTTTTCTTGTAATACAGTAATACAATAATTTGCTTTGTAACGTCTTTATAAAGACCACTTGTCTGTAAAGGCCACTTGTCCAATTGTATATTTGATAACAATGAGATAAAAGGATCATTGATTGGAACTTTAAGCGAGGTCTGAGAAAAGATGCAATTTACCTCTACCGTGACTATATAACAAAGAAATCTCAACACTTTGGACGAGATTCTTGAATATCTATTCTGAGACTTAGAATTCCACTTTGGCGAGATGTTCATTATATAGAGTACCTTTTCTGTATCCACCGAAGATATTTTAACATATATAAGAGGAATTTAATGTATTACTGTGTACTTACGTTTAATAGTGTCTTCATGAACAGATCATCCAATTATTCAAGTTTGGCTGAATATGATGTGATCCCTTTGTTAATTGTAGTGGAAGTGAGGATGCTAAAGGCTATATCTGGGACCGTCACTACGCCACTCTTCTGGCCACTTATCAACATGGGGAAGGTGTCGTCAACGCAATCGCCTTCTGTCCTAATAATCAGGAGTACCTTGTCACAGTTAGCGACGATAATACAATCAAGATCTGGAGATCAAAGCATTTAATGAAAGGTTTGGAAGTGACAGGACACAATTGAAATGTACTGAGGAAATGTACTTGTAAGCATGCATGGGTCTGCAGCTGTTGTCATGAAAATTATCTTTAAATGACGGAGAGTTGCTAGCCAGCTGTGCACTCCTTTAGAAAAATAGTTTTTGACTTCAGTATTATTTGCTGTTTGATTGATGGCTCCTTTTCACATGTATCAGCAAGAAGTGGTGCTGCAAAATCACAAAAAATAGGAAAAAAGATATGTGAATATTTCTGGTACTTGAGGTATTTACTGAAATAGAGATTTTACAATGATTTTTGTGAGAACTGGAACTTTTGAAGCATTGATTTAGCAAAAAGAGATTCAGACAGGATATGATTGTAAAATAGCTTTTCAATGAGGTATGAATGCATTTGCTTGCTTTGTATCTCGATTCAGAATTTTGCTGTAACAAATTCAGCTGCATTGATGCTTGTTTGATACAGCATTACCATATTCACTTTGTAGTAAGCTGAGTTACCAACACATGAACTGTGATTCTAAGTAGGGGACAATGTAATATTTACAGGACAATGTAATATAGTATTTGTGAGTAATTTTACAGATTTGCAATAAAGACGGGTTGACTTATTACCAGACCTAGGCAAGATAATATGTTGTATAGGATTCAGTAATAACAATAGACCTGGATTTTGTAAACACCAGATAGGTCTCAATCAATATAAAATGCTGCCAGCACTCAAGGTTCTTAAAAATCTCATTTTCATCATGATTTTTTCTTGAATATGGAAAGAAATAACTACCATGAAATCCATTAAGGGGCACATAGACCATTGGTTGTGAGAGTGCCATGTATTGATTTATCAAAAATATATCAGGAAAGTTGAAGTTTGTACTTGTGTTCTGTACATGATAAGGTCTTTCATATTGTCCCACCCTTTCTGTAAACATTATAAAGATTTATAGGCCTTTTAGGTTAAATTTGGTGTGTTCATTTAATGTTGTAAATATTATCTGTGTTGACGTACTAATTTATTATTTCTTGTGTTGTTTTTTTTCATCAATTTGATGGACTTGATATTAAGAATTCTGTATAAGAAATGAACATCATGTAATAGGAATATGTAATTGGTATGTATATTCGAGAGTAATATATAATGTATTTAATAGTTTGGGTAATCTATTTATAATATTAGATATCATTTATATATTATTTATTTATTCCATATCAGCATAGTGCTATATTTGACACATATAGCCGACATGGTTGATATCTTACAGTTTTGGTGAAAAGTTTACATAATTTTCATGTCTTTTACAGGAATTAATTACAGGATGTTTACTTATTTTTTATGAATTATAATTATATGATATGTTGAGTCTTTTATCCCTTTCACTGTGTCTCTGTAATATGGAATTTATCAAACTCAATAAATGATTTAATGTCACATTCCTGGTGGCTTGTGACGTATTAAATTAGGACTTGAGAATAAGTTCCATATAACAAATACCCATTTCGGATCCTCAATACTTCAGGTTTGAACTATAAGGGCATATTGTGTCTCTCTTTCAAATGAAGGGAAATGCATTAAAGCACTAGTTCTTCTTGCTCAGGTTGAAGATTTGAACTGTTAGAATTTTCTTGAGACATGTAATATACCTGCATCATTCAGAGGCATTGGGAAGTGCAGTGAAATTAGGTCATAGTGACCTTCACTTCGATTAAAGGTCAGATAAGTTTTTTTTAATCAATTTTTTGTGAAGACAACAATTTTCAAAAGTCAGTGTATACTGATAAAATTTGAAGGTCACCTGATCACCTGTCAGTGTCGTCAGGTCAAACGATAAGATCAAAGTAAAGTTTTCAATCTTTTACTGGCTTGTATTTCATTTGAATTTTCTCAAGCAAAGTTGAAAAAGGCAATTTACAGGTCATTCAGTTAATACATGTTGGTGAAACATCAAGATATGAAATATGTTCTTGTTAGTTGATGGTAGACATTTTTCTAGATTCATGATTGAGGAAACTAAAATAGTGAGAACCAACACTATGGACATTTAGGGAAGCGGTAAGTTCCTGAATGTGTGGTATTCAGTGGGCATTCAATAGAGATTCTTGATGTAATTAACATATGAGCACTGTTCCATGCTTGTTAAGTTGTTAAGAATTTTTGTTAAAATTTAAAACTCAAACTGCAGTATTTCTCTGAGAATTTCTGGGCTAATTCCTTTGTAGATAGAATTTCTGAAGGTATTGAATTGGAACCCCATAACATGTATTACATGTATTGATGTATTGTAGAACTGATGTAAAGACAACTGATATGGATATGTTAACTATGAATATATATACTATTTGGAAAGAATAGATATTCTTTACAGATCATATGAGATATTTCTTTAATATTGTTCACATTTATGATCTTGTAGCATTTAACACAAGTTACTCCCTGTTGATTTTATGCATTACAAAGTTTAATATAACCATGTTTGTACCAGTACAGTACTCTTATTTATACACATATCCTATTTAATTGGACACATATTATTTCTCTGATGTTAAATCAATTCAGGTTCTATTAATTTTAATAAAGATATTTTGTGTTTGATTTCATGTCCAGAATGACATAAATTATCTGCTGTGTATGTATATTGCTTTCAATATATTTTTACCGAATTTGCTGTCAGTTGCAGTGAAAAAGACTTCAATGACTACAGAAAGGACTAGATTCTTTCATTAAAAAAGGGAGTGTCAACAAAGCAAGGCTGAAATTGATACCCATCTTATTGGGGACCATTGAAAATGATATGAAGTATGATATGATAGGATTGATGTGAATAATATTAGATTTCACTGTGTGTAATATTATGCAAAACATGATTGAAAGACAATTTAGATACTTGGCTTCATGTAGCAAGAGTTGTAGATGCTTCTGTGTTGGTTATGGATTTATAGCACTTAACATGCATGAATGAAATAGTAGGTCATTTTGACACGGTTATATAATAAAATCTTCAGATATATTGTGATGTCATCAAATCATGTAAATGTGCATGGTCATCAACTCTTGTGTTGTGATGTCATCAAATCATGTGTATGGTCTTGATGTTTTGAAAGGTAGTAGTGATTCACACAGATCATGTTAGCGGTAAATGCTTCAATGCACCATAGCTACTGAAATTAAGAGAGAGTTATTATTTGATATAAATTTATAGGGTTGAAAAAACAGATGCAAATCACTTAGATACTTTATCCTGAAAGAAGTCTCAGAGGTGTTGGAGATGGAAGAGGGAACATCACCAGTCCTTGGAAGACTGGTGATTAAAATCAACAGCATGAAAAATGTTTGATGTGTTTTTCTACATAAATAAGGCATTGTAATAAGGGTAATTAGAATTTACTCTTGTTTTTATATGCTTAGTCAACTTACATCATAAAGTTCTTCAAACAAATTCAATACGCTAAACAGTATACACTATGTGATGGAGGTATGACATATTTGATGGGTTAAGTCATATGTCAGTGTTACAAACAGAACATACTTTAGTATTGAGTGTATTTTGTATATTCAGATAACACTTCAAACATAAACAGGGATGAACAATAAAGACATCTTTTAGCATATGACAGAGTATACTTTGTTTTTTTTTGGTCTTTTTTTTTAAGATTCAACCATGCAAGTAATTTCTTAAATTTCATCGGTCAGTCATTTCCTTCAAAACTTTTCTCCTGAAAGGCTAATACAGTTTTGAACAAATATGAAATGATGCATCATTGAGTTGATGAAACTAAGCATCAATTAAAGGAGTGTGTAACCACAATGAGGTTTGACATAGGCAAGAATGGGCAGATTTCAGTCCTCAAAAGACTACCTGGTATTGACATAGGCTAGAATGGGCAGATTTCAGTCCTCAAAAGACTACCTGGTATTGACATAGGCAAGAATGGGCAGATTTCAGTCCTCAAAAGACTACCTGGTATTGACATAGGCTAGAATGGGCAGATTTCAGTCCTCAAAAGACTACCTGGTATTGACATAGGCAAGAATGGGCAGATTTCAGTCCTCAAAAGACTACCTGGTATTGACATAGGCAAGAATGGGCAGATTTCAGTCCTCAAAAGACTACTTGGTATTGACATAGGCAACAATGGGCAGATTTCAGTCCTCAAAAGACTACCTGGTATTGACATAGGCAAGAATGGGCAGATTTCAGTCCTCAAAAGACTACCTGGTATTGACATAGGCAAGAATGGGCAGATTTCAGTCCTCAAAAGACTACTTGGTATTGACATAGGCAAGAATGGGCAGATTTCAGTCCTCAAAAGACTACTTGGTATTGACATAGGCAAGAATGGGCAGATTTCAGTCCTCAAAAGACTACTTGGTATTGACATAGGCTAGAATGGGCAGATTTCAGTCCTCAAAAGGCTACTTGGTATTGACATAGGCAAGAATGGGCAGATTTCAGTCCTCAAAAGACTACTTGGTATTGACATAGGCTAGAATGGGCAGATTTCAGTCCTCAAAAGGCTACTTGGTATTGACATAGGCAAGAATGGGCAGATTTCAGTCCTCAAAAGACTACTTGGTATTGACATAGGCTAGAATGGGCAGATTTCAGTCCTCAAAAGACTACTTGGTATTGACATAGGCTAGAATGGGCAGATTTCAGTCCTCAAAAGACTACCTGGTATTGACATAGGCTAGAATGGGCAGATTTCAGTCCTCAAAAGACTACTTGGTATTGACATAGGCTAGAATGGGCAGATTTCAGTCCTCAAAAGACTACCTGGTATTGACATAGGCTAGAATGGGCAGACACCTGACATAAAGATGCTGAGATAGACACCTGGCAAAGATTCTGAGATAGACACCTGGCAAAGATTCTGAGATAGACGCCTGGCAAAGATTCTTAGATAGACACCTGACATAAAGATGCTGAGATAGACACCTGGCAAAGATTCTGAGATAGACACCTGGCAAAGATTCTGAGATAGACACCTGGCAAAGATTCTGAGATAGACGCCTGGCAAAGATTCTGAGATAGACGCCTGGCAAAGATTCTTAGATAGACACCTGACATAAAGATGCTGAGATAGACACCTGGCAAAGATTCTGAGATAGACACCTGGCAAAGATTCTGAGATAGACGCCTGGCAAAGATTCTTAGATAGACACCTGACATAAAGATTCTGAGATAGACACCTGGCAAAGATTCTGAGATAGACGCCTGGCAAAGATTCTTAGATAGACACCTGACATAAAGATGCTGAGATAGACGCCTGACATAAAGATGCTGAGATAGACATCTGGCAAAGATTCTGAGATAGGTAGACACCTTATAAATGAGATTATAGGTTCAACACAGCACTTGTATGAAAGACCCTTTATCCCAGCATGCTGCTTGCCAAATATCATGATTCTGAGTCATTCAAAAATCATGTAAATGAATTAAGTGGATACCAAACAATTGAACAATGGATGTTTATTGCACCATTAGCTTACTGCAAAGACTAGAATCACACATTTGAAGTGCAGATCTTAATGAAGATTTTTTTGTTGTGATGAAGAATCCTGCACAAATAGCTATCATGACTAAAGATACAGTTTATAGTATCAATAAATACAAACAAATCGAGGAAAATAAAGGTTTTGATACACACAATGAGGAAAACAAAACAATGTGAAATCTTTTAATGTTCAATAATTGAGCAATAATATGAGATGATGATAAATCAGAATGCAGCTTCTATACTCCAGTATCTATGTATTTCTACATATAATATTTCGAGAAATTGTGAGACAAAAACTAAATGAGACTATCATGTAATTGAACTGTTCATAAACAAAATAAATTGGAATGGTTTAACTGCTGTATTTACACAGTGGTATGGTCATATCTTGTAGTAAATCTTTTTACACAATTTTAGCAGAAATGTAAAAAAATTCTGTCTCCTGTAAAAACCCATCCCATAGTTTTGAGTCTGAAGCTATATGTTATAATCAACAATCTACAATGTATGTCGCAATACACCCTAAGATAAATAGTTCTCTCAACAAATTATCACAGCTTTACAATATCAACCGTATGGAGCGGTGAGTCACATCAACTCCGCTGTTAATTAATAATGGTGGTAAGGCACAGAAACTCCACTGTACATTAACACAAATGTATAACCACGTGGAGCGGAAACTCCACTGTACATTAACACAAGGTTACAACCACACAGAGCGGTGTGGCACAGAAACTTCACTGTCCATTAATATAAAGTTAAAACCACACAGAGCGGTATGGCACAGAAACTCCACTGTACATTAACACAAAGTTACAACCACACAGAGCAGTGTGGCACAGAAACTCCACTGTCCATTAATATAAAGTTACAACCACACAGAGCAGTGTGGCACAGAAACTCCACTGTACATTAACACAAAGTTACAACCACACAGAGCAGTGTGGCACAGAAACTCCACTGTCCATTAATATAAAGTTACAACCACACAGAGCAGTGTGGCACAGAAACTTCACTGTCCATTAATATAAAGTTACACCCACACAGAGCAGTGTGGCACAGAAACTTCACTGTCTATTAATATAAAGTTACATCTTCACAGAGCGGTGTGGCACAGAAACTTCACTGTCCATTAATATAAAGTTACATCCACACAGAGCAGTGTGGCACAGAATCTCCACTGTACATTATTATGAAGGTACAACCTCATGGCACAGAGTGGTGTGGCACTAAAACTCAACAGTCCATTCTAACAGACAGTTACAACCACATGAATCGCTATGGCACAGAAACTACAAATTTTATACTAACACAAAGGTACATAAAACACACATGGGACATGTTACATGATGTAGCAAAAACAAAAACAATTTCTACAAGAAACTGTTCTAATGGAACAGTTAGATGCCTTGTGCATTGTTATATTACCTGGCACACTTTCACGTATGTATTGTATCTATTTGGCACCGAGGCCATGTCCAGGGATAAATCCATTGGCATCAATAGCAGAGCTATAGATTATAAGTCTGCCTCCTGGTCTTGTTGCGGGAATAATCAAGTAACACCTGATGGTCACAATAATATCTCTTCACTTCATCTTTCCTGAAAATCTGATATATATATATATATATATATATGTACCACAAAGAAAGCTAAACAATAATTCAAGAATTGCCTTCAGAAATTTGACTTGGTATTTGTAGTTTCTGAAGTCGTGATTTCCTCTTTACCATCTCTTCCCTTGCTCGTACCTTCCAGTATCTCCGAATATTAGCAATGTTTGTACAACTATAGGCTTCCCAGCCAACCAGATGTGAGCGTGTGAGATTGTCTCGAATCACAGTCACCACCAAATCATTGACACATAACAGAGATTCCACCACACAATGACCTGTTTGAGATTCCTGGACAGTTTCAACCTTTCCTTTAACTTGATAATGGTCATTTCTACAATTCAAAATGGCTATTACCTCCCCTTTCTTGAATGATTCGTAGTTTAATGTACAGATGATGAGGATATCACCACGGTTACGACTGATCCAGATTGTGTCACCAACAATACAAATTGAGTTGATGACAATGTTGCTGAGTGAATACCGTCGCGACATTGAGGGAAGCGTACCACCTTTTTTATCTGGTACTGTGTTCTTTTTTGGAAATGCTGGTATACTGGTCAGTCTAGGTCGTGGAGGGCGTTGTGGTGGCCCTTCAACAGTATTTGAAGGTGACCTTCGTGGCGGTACTTTGGGACGAAAATCAATGTCAATGGACAGAGAGCTGCCAGAAGAATCCTCATCATCATCTTCAGTGTCCTCATCTTTTCCAACTTTTTCAAGAATATCCATCGGCATCTTTTTAGCCATGTTCATACTGTGAGGATTGTCAAGATCACAGCTGTAGATATGTGTGGCTATGCCCATATCTGTATCTAGTTCTACAATAAAAGCTGTATCACACATCAAACACCACACACGGCCATCTCCCTGCACCAACATCTGTACACTCAGACAACTGGTGTAATCACATACATATTCTTGCAGCATTTTCCCGATATGGATTCTATTTTCAACCATTGATGTGGCTACACTGTACACGACTATGTCTGGGCCACAACCAACCCATAATTCTTCTCCGTTACAGGACATGACATGTACTGCACAACAAGCCTCTTTGTCAGAAATCTGCTGACTGTTACGCTGACAGGACCATCCACTTTCAGAAACTTCAGTCTGGAGTGAATCCTGATTGGATGGCAAGGTCATCGTGTATGTGCGTAACTTCCCATTATGAAGTGTCACATAAAGTTTATTTCCAGTCTGAAAGAAAAGACCAGTTTCTTTATGTAGCCTTTAATTAATCTTTGATTTTCATAGATAATGGAATATTCAATTTCATTTTTATTTCCAGATGTAAAGGTCCTAATTCACATGTGAAATGTCCACACTCACTAGCTATAATTGTGATGTACATTTAGACTGCCAGAAGAATTTATCATTATTGTATAGAAATGCATAGGTAGTGGCAGAATGTTTTGAAACATTTAGACTTTGAGGTAGAAATATATTAACTGAAGATTTGCTTACCTTTCTGCTACCTTTGAGGTAGATGATGTTTGTAGGAATACCATCACATGCAAAAGTGATCTGGCGTTGAAGCTGTCCAGAGGTCAATTGTTTCCATACTTCAACCATTCCCTCATCACTTCCTACCTGTTGTTTTTAGGAGTAAAAAGGAACATTTAGTTTTACATATAAATACCTTGCCTCATCCTCTGCCCTGCTACATACTAAAGAGACCCCATGTGACCTTGTATTAGAACAGTCCCTATGTCATCTGTAACTGGGCAAATCTGACATCTAATATCCTTTGCCTCATCCTCTGCCCTGCTACATACTAAAGAGGCCCCATACCTTGTATTAGAACAGTCCCTATGTCATCTGTAATGGGGCAAATCTGACATCTCATATCCCTTGCCTCATCCTCTGCCCTGACCGCATACTAAAGCGGGCCCATACCTTGTATTGGAGCAGGCCATATGTCATTTGTATAAGGGCAAAACTGACATCGTTTATCAAAATATTGGTAAGTATCCATACCTAGATTTGTAATTTAAAGTACTTCAATTGAAAAATAGTAAATACAGAAATGGGACTTCAGATATTTAGCAACAATTGTCGTACACTTTGTTCATGGTTTCTTTCAGGGACATGCTTATTTCACTGTAAAACTGTAGGGAGTCATTTTATCTGCAGTAATATTTAATCTTGACAGATTCATATCCATACAAGATATAAATTGTATGGCTTGAGAAGAAAACAAGTGAAGAAGAGGAATGTGTATGACATGGTACAATTATTACTTACATCTGTGCCAAGCCACACCTCCTGATCAACCTTACACATACAGGTGACTGTGGGGCCAGCCAAAGGCTTCTTTTCATGGTACATGCAGGTGGTCATGTCTACTATGGTGTAACTTCTGTCTGTATCTGTCCCTTCCCAAATCCAAACCAAACGCTTTTCACCCTGCAAAACAACGTTCTAACTAGAGATTCACACTGACCTAATGACTATGTACATAATGCTTTAAGTGATAAAGGTGTGAAAGGACTTTCATTAATTCATTTTCAACAGTTTGCCTGAACAATAATAAAACAAATTCACAGTTATTAAACTTCGACCTCGAGGTCAAGGTCACAGTGACCTAATTGGCTTTAGGTAAGTGATGTATCCTACAACTTTCATTAAGATACCTTTTATATATGAACCAGGTTAAGAACCAGAAGTACTAAATATATCTTCTTCCCTTCATTTCAAGGGAAGACATATTTACAATAGTGTAAGTACACATTTACAAAAACGTTGTTACTTTTTATTTCGTAATTATGATAAATTTCAGAGTCACATTACAACGTACAGTTTCTGTATTTTATGTTTTTTAGTGTAATATGTCATGTTCATTAGAATTTGAAATATTTGCTTTCTAATTAAGTTTGCATATGGGAACTTTTGCTTAATTCACCCTTTTGTTAATAAGGTGAAAAAAAATGGTGGGTCAAAATCTGAAGTTTAAGTTTAAATATATCTTTATTATTTTTTGGGTAAATTTAACACAAGTTTTATGTTTTATGTATAAAAGGAATACCATTCAGTAACTGATTAAGTTTAAAATCACAGCTGTTGTTTATCTTTATAATGAAGGTAGTGAACGTTTCTCTACTGTCTGTGATAATATCAGTGTTAGAGTCTTTAAATGTTAAATCTTATAATGGTCTCAATCTATACATTGTGGAAGAAAAGTTTAAATGGTGCCATTTTAATCTTTCATTCCTTGTCCTATTCAAGGTTTTTTTTATGTTTATATAAAATACAAAAATTTATATCCAAAGAAAGCTTTATTTTGTAACAGTTCCTCTAGCTGAAGATATTGAAATATGAAATGTTTGATAAAATGAAATATGACTTACATCTGTGACAGGTGTGATCAAGTCTATTTCCCCATGGCATTTGTCAAAGATTTTGTGTTTACAAAGGAACTGGACACTGCGCAGGTGGTCACCATCAACAATATCCATTGTACTGGGTCGGTCAGTCCCCTTGTCTCTCCAGCATTTTTCCATCAGCTGTTCTAATTGTGGAAAACGTGTGTCTAAGTTGAAACTCTGAAAGCAATGATGTGTATACATAATTGTTTGTTTCTTGTGATATACATAACCCTGGTATTAAATACTAATTATAGTATACCTCCTGGCACACCCAAGGAGAAATTCTTTCCTGATTGGAATTGTGTAACCCTGCATGTCGCCATATATTACTTGGTTAAATACTAATTCTCTCTAGCTCAACTGGTTGAGTGCACACCTAGGAAACCAGAAATCTAGGGTCTGATCCCCAGAGGAAGCACTGAAATAATGGCCTCTATTACCGTTTGGTTTGGTTAATTGTTGCTTTATGTTCTATTAACAGTCAGGGTCATTTAAAAACACGCCAGGTTCAGGTGTGGAGGAAAGCCAGGGCACTTAGGCCTTAATGGTCATCTGACTACAAAAACTTTCAGCAGGGAGAAAGGTTATTTTTTCTTCTTTGAATGAAAACTTACTAAGAAGCTCTTTTCAAAGATGCAGATGGTAGTTTTGGTGAGGAGTAGGTAACTGTAATGTGTGTTTTCTATTATTTGACAATAAAGTTGGAGCCAAATCTAACTGGTGAAACTTAAAATGTTTGAAATAGGTGTTGCACAGGAAAACCATGATTGTGCAATCATGTTACAACATGGCCTCCCTGACAGCCGTTTCAAAGTTTTGATGTTGAAAAATAACAACACTTTGTAAGCTACCTTTCCTTAACATTTTCACCAATTTTTAGCTCAATGGCACCAGTGAAACTGGAGAAGTTTAAAATGTGTTTTTCAAGATGGCGGTCATCTTAGACAGACGAGGCACAATGGCTGTAGGTCGTTATGACCCTTTGGGTCAGATGACCTAAAAAACCATCAACCTATGGCCAGTACTTGACCCTATGTAGGCCCCAAACCTTCGACCGAGAGGTGGAGGGCTACTGATAAAGACAGCCTGGCACTTTAACCACTTGGCTGCTGCGCCATTCCTGTCTCAGATGGCTATGTCAAGGTTCCTCAGAAAGCAGACTCAGATCTAAACAGGCTTATCCTACAGGACAATTCAATTACTTGAAAGCAGTGTAAGATGTTGATTCCAAATTCCTTTAGGTAGAGCAGAGACCATGGGCTGAAGACTTTGTATGAGAGAAACTTTTTACGAAGAGCTGACCTGAGATGTGAACCCCAACCTCCCGTACACTTGACATTTATAGAATCTAGTCCATTTTCCTAGACAGTTTGGCTACAGTGACAAGTATGTCTCTATCAATAAGGTTATTTCCCTTTAAGTAATGCACAGTTATTTCCCTTAGTAAAAAAAAATTCCCCTCCATGTTTAATATCTTTTCTATCTTTCTTCAAAAGGTTGACAGTGTATCTCTCTGCCATTGTAGTAATTAGTATTGGCAATATTGTGGCGATAGCTGGATGTAAGTATTTAGTTTTTAGAAGATACAACAGGTGATTCAGGAATATATGATGTCAAATTCAGCTTTTTATGTGAGAAAACATCAAGCAAGTCAGTAATTAAAACATATTACAAATATCATCATACTGATGGAGAAAGCGTCACTAGTGATATAGGGGTTCTGTGACTAAAACAGGGAAATTTTGCTCCATTTTTCAGCAATTTTGATAGTTACATACCTTAAGACTAGGACGCTTCCCTTCCTGTTTGATGGCTGTGGTAATTTGTCCAATATTACGAAGGTCTCCATACGGCCTTTCTCCCGAAACCACTTCATAGATGACCATCGCAAACGAAAAAATATCCACCTGAATTGCAGATTTTTATTTATAATTTTTTACAAATTAAATTAATTGTCAATTACCATATTCATCCAAAAACAAGCCCATGCCTGGTAATAAGTCCATCCCTTACTCTGAGTAAAAGCAGATGTTTTGGCCTCTTGGTCTTATTACAGGATAAATGTGGTAAATGAAATAATTTTGGAATGTGCTTCAGCCTACAACTAAAATTTGATCCCTTATGATACACTAAATCAAATGAGTGTTATGTACTGGTGAATATATTTGTATATATATGGTGTTTGGTATATTTGCTGAACCAGAAGCTGTGGCAGTCATGCCAAATCTTGTGGTTCCAGAAAACCATATCAATATTTGGGATATGCAGTCAGATGTCTTCAAAGAAAAAGATATCTGTTACATTTTTTACCTAAATGAATCTTGTTTGTATATAAAAATATATGACTGACTGAAAAACCTTAATGAAACAAGAGATCCCAGAGGGTTCTTGGGGCCAACCATTGTTTGATCTTTATTTGCCATTTTAAAGTTGGATCTTTTCTCTTCTTTTCTTTCTAATGTCTGTTTTTGCTCTTAATGATCAGACATTTTGAACATTCCTTTGCAGATATTGTGATGATAATCTTTACCTGCCAAATCCAAAATGGTTGCCTGGAAGTCATTTTGTGTCTTCTGATCAGTCCCAAAGTCAAAAGGGCATAATGAGAGACCAAATGGAGCATACATATGAAATTTAAGAGATATCCATTCAGTGCTTTTTAAGATATAAGGATCACAATCTTTACTATGCAAAATCCCACATGGATGCATGTTGGCCATCTTGTTCTTCTGATCAGTCCCAGACTCAAACAGGCACAACTAGGAACCAAGAGACACATATACATGAAATTTGAGAAAGATCTATACAGTACTTTTTAAGAAATAGTGATAACAAGCTTTCAAAGTCAAAATCCAAAATAGCTTCCTGGCCATTTTTTTTCTGATCAGTCCCAAAATTAGATGGCACAACTAGAGACCAAGAGGAACCTATGTATGAAGTTTAAAAGAGATCCATCCAATGCTTTTCAAAAAATAGCGATAACAATCTTCATTGCAAAAATTCCAAGATGGCCACCTGTTGGCCATTTTGTTTATTTGATCAGTCCCAAAAATTAAACAGACACAACTAGGGACAAAGCGGAACCTACATATGCAATTTGAGAAACATTCATCCAGAACTTCTCAAGAAATAGCAATAACAAAAATTATTCACTGATGGACGGACCACGGATGTAGGGCAAGTTCAATAGCCCACCATCTGATGATGGTAGTCTCAAAAAAAGAAAAGAAAAAAATCTGCCAGGTATTTACACTAAAAAGAACAGTGGAATCTCCAATTATAACAATACTATAATGATTACTGGCGATGGTCTACTGCAGAAGTATTTTGTCAGTCATCAGCACATTTTTTGGACATCCATTTTGAACCAGTTCAGTTTACAGTAGGAAGTAATACAATGACAGGCAATCTTCAGGCTGTTTTAATGACCCTTTATATATCTTTGAAGTTTGAGGTATTTTTTTATAATCTTACAGTACTTTTTTTTAAAAATATTTGACCTTAAACTTCAAAATTTTTCAAATTTCTACTTCAAATCTACAACATATTCAGAATTTTGCACTTTTTGAAATCTTTTGGAAGCAACTATGACATTTGAATCTATTTCCATGAATATTCCTTCTCTTAAAATCCTTAAAGAGAGTTTTAAGATTAAGGCACATTTATGACACCAGTGATGGAGAGACGTAAGTAAACTGATTTCAAAGAGACAGAAGGACAAAGTAATTACAAACAGAGGGACAGAAACTATTACCAAATGAAGAAATGTTTACTTTTTCGTCATAGAATTGAGCATCCATGATCTCTGGGGCCTGGTAACCAGGAGTTCCCACCATGCCTAGGGTTCCACCAGAGCTGTAGAACTTTGAGATTCCATAGTCAGACAACTTCAGATTCACCGGGGCAGTAAGGTCAAGCGTGGTGACCAGGATGTTGTCAGACTTGAGATCACGGTAGATAATTCCATGCTTGTGTAGATAGTCCAGACCAGTGGCAATCTGCAAGATTAAGGAGTTATCAAAGGTAAGGATTTTTTAAAGATTCAAATTAAGGATTTATCCAAATTAAAGATTTATAAAGATTAAAGATTTTACAAGATTAAGGATTAATGAGGATTAAGGATTTATCAAAAATAAGGATTTATCAAAATTGAAATTAAGGATAAATAAAGATTAAAGTTAAGGATTTATGGAAATTATTTCAATCATCTATAGTTATTATAGTAATAGTAAGTTATAACAATGGTTGGAAGTCATGGAGCAACCATTTCATGGTATCTCTCAAGAATTTCACATCATAGATCTTTGTTTTCTAGTCAAACAGACATTTCCTAAGATGTTGATTCTGACACTGTAAAAATATTTGCTGGGCTTTTTGGACCATGAATAAAGTGAAATTAAAGAAAATGAAAAAAAAAGTTATTTATTTTACAACCATTTCCAACCAAGTTATTTCAACTTCAATTAATCACTCTTGTTGGAACAGCCCAAATAGTCTTATTTCGGGTAGAAACTGGAGTACTCAGGGAAAACCAAAGTGGTCAAGTACCCAAACCTTTACATAAATGTTCAGGGAATTGAACTTAGGACACCTTGGTGAAATCAAGTGCGTTACCACAGCACCACTCAACCACTATAGTAAAATTAAATCCCCCACTATGGAGTATACAATTTCCTAATGGTCTTTTACCCTCGGCCTCAAAAATTGCAGAAAGTTCAAAAAGATTCTCCTACTAATATACCAAACATGCTATTAATAGGGAAGGTTTTGACACAGTTCAATCTTCACCTATAAAACCCTTTTATCAATAGGACTGATGTTTGATCTTAAAGCTCTGAAGATACATATGTATATTAGGACTATTCCACACTATGCTAAAATAATTGTATTAAAGGGCCGTTGTAGAATACTCTCCAAAATATACAATGTACCATAATGGTAATAACGTGGGTCAGATCAATAAAAATTTATACATAATAAGGAGTTTTGTAAGATTTCAAAGCTATTGTGCTCACAAAGTATGAATTTCAAAATAAGAAAAAAATAATTGCATTACACAATGTTCAATTGTTGATCAATTTTATTAAAGATCAGAAGTTAAATAAATAAATATGATTTACCTGAAACACCATCTTGTACGTCAGGTCCTTACTTAATATCATTCTGAATACCTTGTCCCGGTCACGATGTTTATTGAACGGTTTCCTGTTCACTTTTTCAGCATCCAGAACGTTCCTAAGACTGCCAAGGGCAGCGAACTCCAGACACATGAGAAGCTTTGGTTTGACACAGATACCAATAAATGAAATGACACAAGGGTGTTGAAGCTTGCTTGTAACTGCGACCTCTTGTCTCATCTCCATAAATGACTTCCATGCCTGAAACAGCAAACAATCATAAATAAACTTGAAAGTGTATATAAGACATGATTAACTTCTATAGAAACTAGAACATCTTATCAGGTATAGAACTTGATATTATGATTCTGTGACCTAGGTATAAACTCAATCTGTTGATAGGTTTTCCTGATATAGATAGTACCAGGTATACGCCTCCCCATAGATTAGTTAGAACACAATAACTACAATTATTGTACTGCATATCTTTTATATTTGAAAAATGAAAGCAGTTGTCTTGTGATGGTTTGCAACTCAAGTTCATCTCCTCATAAAAGTTGAATCAGTTGAACTGCACATTTTGGCAATCAACAAAAAAAAAAAAAAAAAAAGAAAATAACTCACCAAAGTATGTCACATAATAAAATCGACAAACCTTCAGACTATTGGCTTCGTCTGTATCTAAAGTGGTGATTTCTCTTAAGTCCTTATAGTTTCCATATGGGTTGGCTTCATCTTGGAAATCAGAGCTAGTTTTTTCTGATGAGTTATTTGCCATACCTTTGGGCCAGGATGCTTTCCCACTGTCCATGCTATCTATCCCCGAGGATTGAAGACCAGTGGGCATGCCATGATAATACTTGACTGCTACGTCAATGTTGCCATACCGACCTTTGAACACTGACCCACTAACACCTCGTCCAAGAATGGCATCAAGCTGGACCTCTAAATTGGTCTGATCCAAGTGGTACTCTTGAGGAATTTCCTTAACAAGAAGTTCTGGGACAAGCTGCTCCAGAGGAATAAGTGATCCTGTTTTACACAGCATTGTGTCGTCTGTACGGATAACCCGTGCGCAGTGTTCCACTGTGAAGTGATCATAGTCTGGTGGCAGTGATGAAGTGGAAATATCGTCATAGCAGCGCTGACATAAAGCATATCTCTGGACTCGCGGCTCACCAGAGTTATCCCATTCCAACAGACCTACAATTAAACACCCTGATACTTACACAACATTACATAAACATTCCAACACTAACATTACATAAACATTCCAACACAACATTACATAAACATCCAACACTTTCATTACATAAACTTATATTACATAAAAATTCCAAATACATAAACATTCAAAAACCAAAAGTTTATAAAAAAACGCAATCCTCTTCATCAAAGGATGCTTCTGACCAAATATGGGCAAAATCCAATCATTCCTACAGGAAGAGTAGTATTTTAAGGAATTTGCTCTATTTCCAATATTGGGTGTTGTCCCTCTCAAGATTAAACAACTATAAAGTAACAAATGAGAAATAGGCGACAAAGTGGTCAGGAATACCTTTATACCAAAGTAGTGTTTGGATCATTACCTGGATAGTGGTCAGTCAACAGATCATCAATCTCATCTACTATAGTGCCCAAAATAGAAAACTCATCCACCGTAGAATGGACCACAACTAGTATACCCATCTTAGAAGGTCTTTCTCTTCTCTGAGGTATACGGATTGTCTCTAGTTTGAAGTACCCTGTAGTGTGTCTCATACAAATGCCATCCTGCCAGTAGATCATATCCTTCTTCTTAATGTGTAGTCCATTTCTATCAAAGGTAAGAGAGTAAAGTTTGAATTGTATTGTGCAGGCCATTTCTATCAAAGGTAAGAGAGCAAAGGTCAAATTGTACTGTACAGGCCAATTCTATCAAAGATGAGAGAGTAAAGTTTAAGTTGTAATGTGCAGGCTAATTTCTATCAAAGAACAAATTTAAAGAACATTAGGAAATCACAGGTCACAGGTTTAATCCCAAGTGGAAACATTTCACTTTGTAGCCTCATGGCCATGGCACAATTTGTAATATGCTATACAAGGGCTGAAATTAGTGATCTTCAGCTTTCAAACATGACTTCTGAGTGAAAGGGAAAGAGTGAAAAGATGAGTGCCTTCCTATTTGTAAGTAAAACATGATATGTTTGTGATGATATGGAAATATAAGATAAATAAGATTTCTATAAAATTAATTTAATACAGAGATAAGTATATGAAATACACACAAATGTCCAGAGAACTGCCTTCCAATGACAGTGTGCTGCATACGGCTCTGACCAACAGTTCGTGTCCCTGTCTGCTTTGCTCCTAACATTGAGGACTGAAATTTCCAATTTGGCTGCTCCAGCAGTTGAAGGCGAGCCATTATACGCGACAGAAGACGACTCCAGAAACCCGTTGGTATGAAGGCCATCTGATAGAGTCGATACACATTAGTACCACTATACTCTTGAGAATGAAGCTGCAGGGCTGGACTTTGTGACAAACGACCCGGGATAAACAATCTGAAATATAGAAAATCAAGTTATAATAAACAATCTGAAATATAGAAAATCAAGTTATAATAATGTCCTGTCCTGACATAGACAGGAAACTCATGTCAACAGCTCATACTTACAAGTTGAATTCATTTATTGCATCAATCATCATTTTAAATCAAGGTTATTTTTTTTTAAATCCACAATTAAATAGTTAAAAAGTTAACTAAAAAATGATAAATAAAAGATAGTTATCAAGTAGCTGATAAATTAGATTAAAAACAAGCACAATAAATATCTCATTATCTCATATATCTGCTATAGTAACAACCTTCTCCCATCGTCCACTGACAGTGCAATTTCAAATCGCTCCAACAGCTGAAGGTATTGGCCAATGTATTCGTCAGGGAAACTTGGGTCATCCATGTATCGTTTTGTCACGTCTGCAACACTGATCTTTCCATCACGCCCAATTTGTCCATCAATACCATTGTAGTCATCAGTTAAAACTTTTGCCAGCAGGTCACACAGCCATGAAGGGTCGAGGATGTACAATGTACTTAGACCACGTAACTGGTCACTGTAGTGTAGCAGTGAGCCTGTCTCCACCAGAAACTGGGTCACTGTCACATGAAAGGGGTATATTTGTTAATATACTTAGGTTTGGGTTGATTAACAAATGTAAAATAAAAGATTAATTTTGTTGTCGTCTTTAACAATATTTGTGGAAAATGTAAACATGTACTGACACAAGCTCGTGTACAATCCAGTAAACAAAAACAATATTGTTTCTTCAGGAATGAAATTGGCCAAAAAAAAAGAGAACACACACACTCACACGAAGAAGTGACCTACGCAATGCTGGTCTCACTAGAAAATGTCTTGGAAAAATAATTTAACTACAATCCATATTCACCCACAATAATGTCCCAGAACTGGGTGTATTTGGCCAACAGCTAAGTGATTCTGAAGAGCAACAAATGCTTCACTTTTCAACATAAGAAATATTTTTGAAAATAATTAAGAATCAAGAAATAAAAATTGCAAATGTTTCTGTACAACAGAAACAATGTAAATAACATTTCAGAAAATCATTTTCTTCAGATAACAATGGTGACCTTGGTCTTTCAACTTTAAAGAAGATTATGGTTATTAGGAAAGGACACACAGCACAAATTTAAGTTTTAGTTTGGTTGGCCAAAAGAAACTCTAAAAAGTGTGTTGGCCTATTTTCTATCTAATGTAACCTTTGACCTAGAGACCTAAATCTACCTTCAGTAATAGTAACTGTAACCTTTGAACCTTTGACCTTTGTAATTCCAAACAAGCATTTTCAGCAAGGAGGCATAGTAGAAAGTTCCATGATCAGGAAAAATAAGGTTACTGCATAGAAATCAATATATTTCACTTAAAAATACTTTTAACCTTCAGACTTTGACCTTCAGACCTAAGCATAAGTTCAAAAGAAGACTTATATCATACACTTGGTAAGGTGATCAAAGTTATGAACATCAATTAAAATGAAAATTGTTCTTTTGAATTCCATCACACACTTACCAGCAGTGATGTCATCCTCGGTAGTGATGTCGTTGTTAGGAATTGATCTAATGAGCTCCTGGAATTCTTCCTCTTCCATGAAGGGTGGATCTCCCTGACTTAATTTTAAGGCTAGTTTCTGTTCTATAGCCTTCTCTACTGATAGGTAGGATAATGGTACTTTGCGATTGAGAAGTTTTCCGATACTAGACCCCTTCACAGGATCATACATATTCGAGACAATTTCAAACAGCTTCTGTTTCAGTAGAGGAATTCCTGAAGAGGAAACATATTTCTTTGATGTATCAGTCAAGATGTAAAGAAAACATTGCAGAATTTGAATATTCAGTTTAAAATACAGAGATTTTAAAACTGATAAGGAATTGAGTGAATACCATGGTTTGTTGATCTGGGTGTTCATAACCCTTCAGTTAGATACCTGAAGGTATGCAAGGTGATTTGATTATAGAAAATTTCAATTATTATAAATGTTTTTATTCATATGGTAACCACATCTAGATGAGACAAGCACCTACCAGAATTATAAGTCAAGGCTTACCTAATATCCTACCCCCTTCACTTATGATCTACAAATTTAAAAACTAATGGACAGATGGAAAGATGGATATGCAGACAGACAATGTGACTTGTGTAAGCCTATCAGGTACAATGTCAACAGTCTTATCATATTATATATGTAGTTCCATCAGATCTGCTATTGTCATTTTCTAAGTACAGTATAAAATGACACTAACTAACTCATGGAAGGATAGTTAAAATCACATTTATCAATAAATAAGTTCCAAAAATGATACTGAGGTAAACACAAGATACAAAGAAACTTTTACACTGAATACTACATTTCAGAACTAATTTTTGTTATCATTGTTTATTGCTTGGACCAGGTGGTCCAGGGTTGTTTGTTCAGGAAGCGACATACTGATCATGTAATTTGCTCTCTATCAAGCCTCACAATAACCTTTCAAGGCATTATGTAGTCATATTGTAAGATCCATCTAGATTTATGCTTGAACCATTACACATGAATGAACAAGTGTCAGAAGAATCTGGCCAAACATAGTTGTTGTAAATAATAGACCCTTAAAGGTTAACTAACCTTCCTTTGTAGTACAGGACACAGGTATGATGTTGTTGAGGTCAAGCTCACTACAAAGGGAACTCCTCGAACTTCCTGGTCCATAGCGTTCTATTACCAGGCTCAGAATACGGGACACTTTCTCATCACGCTGAGCATCGGTCAAGTGTTTGTTCTTGTCTAAGAAAGTTGTGACAAGAATGACCCTGGAGTTTGGTGTCCTTGCCTTGAATGCATCCAACAGTCAAAACTTATAATCATATCATGAGATTATTCTCAAATTTTAAACGCAGTGAATGTGTCACAAACTATCTTGTAGATCATATCCAATAGGCTGATTGGAAGGGCAAATTCTAACTTACCTTTACACTGTACAGCCAGTGTTCTAACTCTTGTTTGTACTGTACAACCAGTGTCCAAACTCACCTCTATACTGTACAGTCAGTGTCCAAACTCACCTCTATACTGTACAGCCAGTGTCCAAACTCACCTCTATACTGTACAGCCAGTGTCCAAACTCACCTCTATACTGTACAGCCAGTGTCCAAACTCACCTCTATACTGTACAGCCAATGTCCAAACTCACCTCTATACTGTACAGCCAGTGTCCAAACTCACCTCTATACTGTACAACCAGTGTCCTAGCAAGTCCAGTTCAGTATCAAGTGACCATATGTCCCACACCAGGATGTAGAGTGAGTTCTTAGTGAAGAAACATTGCTGAGCAGGGATGTATTGATCTGAGCATGCCATGTCCCAAACAGACAGAGTGATTTCAGGGCTACGCTGTAAGTGACAGAAAAAATACAATAGTAAGAAAAGTCAGGGCTGTGCTGAAAATTGTGACTTCGGGATTATCAGTAGCTATCAAACAGACAGTGTATGTCAAGACTATGCTGTAACTGACAAACAGTGGGACCTCAGTGCTATACTGTAACTGTGAAACAGACAGCATGATGTTATGACTGCTGTAACTGACAAACAGACAGTGGGAACTCAGTGCTATATTGTAATTGTGAAACAGACAGTAAGATGTTATGACTATGCTGTAACTGACAAATAGACAGTGGGACCTCAGTGCTATACTGTAACTGTGAAACAGACAGTAAGATGTTATGACTATGCTGTAACTGACAAACAGACAGTGGGACCTCAGTGCTCTACTGTAACTGTGAAACAGACAGCATGATGTTATGACTGCTGTAACTGACAAACAGACAGTGGGACCTCAGTGCTATACTGTAACTGACAAACAGACAGTATGATGTTATGACTGCTGTAACTGACAAACAGACAGTGGGACCTCAGTGCTATACTGTAACTGACAAACAGACAGTATGATGTTATGACTGCTGTAACTGACAAACAGACAGTGGGACCTCAGTGCTATACTGTAACTGTGAAATTGACAGTATGATGTTATGACTTTGCTGTAACAGACAAACAGACAGTGGGACCTCAGTGCTATACTGTAACTGTGAAACAGACAGTATGATGTTATGACTATGCTGTAACCGACAAACAGACAGTGGGACCTCAGTGCTATACTGTAACTATGAAACAGACAGTATGATGTTATGACTATGTTGTAACTGACAAACAGACAGTGGGACCTCAGTGCTATACTGTAACTGTGAAACAGACAGTATGATGTTATGACTATGCTGTAACCGACAAACAGACAGTGGGACCTCAGTGCTATACTGTAACTATGAAACAGACAGTATGATGTTATGACTATGTTGTAACTGACAAACAGACAGTGTGATGTTATGACTATGCTGTAACAATCATATATACAGTGTGACCTCAGAAATATGCTGTAACTGACAAACGGTGTGACTTTAAGTCTATGCTGTAAATGACAAATAGACATTGTGACTTCAAGACTATATTGTTAACAACAAACAGACAACATGATGTTAGGACTATCCTGTAACTGTGAAACAGACAACATGATGTTAGGACTATTCGTAACTGTGAAACAGACAACATGATGTTAGGACTATCCTGTAACTGTGAAACAGACAACATGATGTTAGGACTATTCGTAACTGTGAAACAGACAACATGATGTTAGGACTATTCGTAACTGTGAAACAGACAACATGATGTTAGGACTATTCGTAACTGTGAAACAGACAACATGATGTTAGGACTATCCTGTAACTGTGAAACAGACAACATGATGTTAGGACTATCCTGTAACTGTGAAACAGACAACATGATGTTAGGACTATCCTGTAACTGTGAAACAGACAACATGATGTTAGGACTATCCTGTAACTGTGAAACAGACAACATGATGTTAGGACTATCCTGTAACTGTGAAACAGACAACATGATGTTAGGACTATCCTGTAACTGTGAAACAAACAGACAACATGATGTTAGGACTATCCTGTAACTGTGAAACAGACAACATGATGTTAGGACTATCCTGTAACTGTGAAACAGACAACATGATGTTAGGACTATCCTGTAACTGTGAAACAGACAACATGATGTTAGGACTATCCTGTAACTGTGAAACAGACAACATGATGTTAGGACTATCCTGTAACTGTGAAACAGACAACATGATGTTAGGACTATTCGTAACTGTGAAACAGACAACATGATGTTAGGACTATGTTAGGACTGTAACTGTGAAACAGACAACATGATGTTAGGACTATCCTGTAACTGTGAAACAGACAACATGATGTTAGGACTATCCTGTAACTGTGAAACAGACAACATGATGTTAGGACTATCCTGTAACTGTGAAACAGACAACATGATGTTAGGACTATCCTGTAACTGTGAAACAGACAACATGATGTTAGGACTATCCTGTAACTGTGAAACAGACAACATGATGTTAGGACTATCCTGTAACTGTGAAACAGACAACATGATGTTAGGACTATCCTGTAACTGTGAAACAGACAACATGATGTTAGGACTATCCTGTAACTGTGAAACAGACAACATGATGTTAGGACTATCCTGTAACTGTGAAACAGACAACATGATGTTAGGACTATTCGTAAATGTTAAACAGACAACATGATGTTAGGACTATCCTGTAACTGTGAAACAGACAACATGATGTTAGGACTATCCTGTAACTGTGAAACAGACAACATGATGTTAGGACTATTCGTAACTGTGAAACAGACAACATGATGTTAGGACTATTCGTAACTGTGAAACAGACAACATGATGTTAGGACTATCCTGTAACTGTGAAACAGACAACATGATGTTAGGACTATCCTGTAACTGTGAAACAGACAACATGATGTTAGGACTATCCTGTAACTGTGAAACAGACAACATAATGTTAGGACTATCCTGTAACTATGAAACAGACAACATGATGTTAGGACTATTCGTAACTGTGAAACAGACAACATGATGTTAGGACTATCCTGTAACTGTGAAACAGACAACATGATGTTAGGACTATCCTGTAACTGTGAAACAGACAACATGATGTTAGGACTATCCTGTAACTGTGAAACAGACAACATGATGTTAGGACAACATGACTATAACTGTGAAACAGACAACATGATGTTAGGACTATCCTGTAACTGTGAAACAGACAACATGATGTTAGGACTATCCTGTAACTGTGAAACAGACAACATGATGTTAGGACTATCCTGTAACTGTGAAACAGACAACATGATGTTAGGACTATCCTGTAACTGTGAAACAGACAACATGATGTTAGGACTATCCTGTAACTGTGAAACAGACAACATGATGTTAGGACTATCCTGTAACTGTGAAACAGACAACATGATGTTAGGACTATCCTGTAACTGTGAAACAGACAACATGATGTTAGGACTATCCTGTAACTGTGAAACAGACAACATGATGTTAGGACTATCCTGTAACTGTGAAACAGACAACATGATGTTAGGACTATCCTGTAACTGTGAAACAGACAACATGATGTTAGGACTATCCTGTAACTGTGAAACAGACAACATGATGTTAGGACTATCCTGTAACTGTGAAACAGACAACATGATGTTAGGACTATCCTGTAACTGTGAACTACAGACAACATGATGTTAGGACTATTCGTAACTGTGAAACAGACAACATGATGTTAGGACTATCCTGTAACTGTGAAACAGACAACATGATGTTAGGACTATCCTGTAACTGTGAAACAGACAACATGATGTTAGGACTATCCTGTAACTGTGAAACAGACAACATGATGTTAGGACTATCCTGTAACTGTGAAACAGACAACATGATGTTAGGACTATCCTGTAACTGTGAAACAGTGACAACATGATGTTAGGACTATCCTGTAACTGTGAAACAGACAACATGATGTTAGGACTATCCTGTAACTGTGAAACAGACAACATGATGTTAGGACTATCCTGTAACTGTGAAACAGACAACATGATGTTAGGACTATCCTGTAACTGTGAAACAGACAACATGATGTTAGGACTATCCTGTAACTGTGAAACAGACAACATGATGTTAGGACTATCCTGTAACTGTGAAACAGACAACATGATGTTAGGACTATCCTGTAACTGTGAAACAGACAACATGATGTTAGGACTATCCTGTAACTGTGAAACAGACAACATGATGTTAGGACTATTCGTAACTGTGAAACAGACAACATGATGTTAGGACTATCCTGTAACTGTGAAACAGACAACATGATGTTAGGACTATCCTGTAACTGTGAAACAGACAACATGATGTTAGGACTATCCTGTAACTGTGAAACAGACAACATGATGTTAGGCCTGTAACCAACAAATAGTCAGTCATTGCTCCAAAATCTGATATCTGATGAGGATTTTGAAGGATGCAGAGACTAATTCTAAGTACATCCATTCGCAATAAAATCCTCAAAGATTCTTTTCATCCTTGAAATGATTTATCAGGAATTAATAAACTATTTGTTTGTTTAAGTTGTAATAAACTATTGATAAATGAAGTCAAATGCCATCAAAATTTTAGGTAAAAACTTTGAAACTTTAACAGCAGAAATATATGATTTCACAGCCTTCATTTTTATCAATTCAAGACATAAATCAATACGACTTTACGTGAAGTATTGAAAAAAATTGATACATTTTCTAATATTGATATTCTATGGAGGAAAGGAGGCAGAAGTGGTCAGTTTATGGAGACTAATTGTTCTTCAATACTTTATCAGGAGCATTACAATGTGATCCTTATCCTGCAGTCTGCTGTAAATGAAAATAAACCAACTCAACTACAGATCATGACTATGATACTGGGTTTCTTTCCCTTTTATTAATCTGACGGAAAAAGAAAAACACAGAATGTTAACAGCCAGTTAGTGGTCAAAGTATCCAGTTTATTTTTCTCATTCTTCCTAAAAATAAATGCCATTGACAGGATTTGATCAGGATACATTTTGCCAGTGGCTTCTTAAATCTTGATGACACAATCGTATACAAAAATGATTATTGAAACTTTTACGATCATTTCATGAAAAATTGTCAAAAACAAATTTATGTGAAGATGTGTCTATACCATAAAATTCTAAACAACCTTTAACAGCGAGATTCCTGAGGCACCCAACTTCATTTCCCATCTGTGTATTCCAGTCCCATGAAATGTAGCCATCTTATTTCCACGTAGCAGTCCTGCTAGAGTTGTCTTTCCTTTATCCTGGAAAATATACAGTGTCTTTATTTTATTTTTTTTTTTTTGGAAACATCAAGCAAGTTCAATATATAATTCTGGTATTTATTAGCTAGGACTCTTTCATAATGTGCTTGATTAGCATATCAGCATACAAGAAGTCCAGGGGGGAATCATAATCACATCATTAATTGAAATTGTAATCATCAACACATGACCACTGATCATTGTCTCCTAATAATTGACTCCTAATAATTGAACTGTAATCATTGACTTGTAATCACTGACTCACTACATTGGCTTATATTATTTGACTCCTATTAATTGACTCATAATAATAGATGACTCATAATCACTGACTCATTACAATGGCTTATAATAATTGACTCCTAATCATTGACTCCTAATCACGGACTCATTATATTGGCTTATAATAATTGACTTGTGATTATTGACTCCTAATCACCGACTCATTACAATGGCTCATAAGAATTGACTCATAATCACTGACTCATTACAATGGCTTATAATAATTGACTCCTAATCATTGACTCCTAATCACTGACTTAGTTTATACAAATGAATCTGCTTTTTCATCTTGATAAGTAACATAATGTTTACAAACATATTTTAAGCAATAAGCCCACAGACGGTCATCTCATTATCACAAAGACTAATGTTATAGCTTGTGGGTATAACAAATTCCCTGAGTAGGTTAAATACAATAAAACTTCAAACATGGAAAAGTGTTCAACGTCACTTTAACATCAATCTCCTAGCATCTTGTACCATATAGCGTGTCTTGGTATTTCACATTTATGAATTTTTTTTTGTTCAAACAGAAATTATAATGACCTGGCTGATATTTTGATAATCAATACAAAAAGACATTTTTTTTTGTTTAACAGAGTGATAAACATTGCTATATATTTTTCTCTCTCCATAAATCAATCTTTTATGATTATATTGATAAACTTAATACTGCAGGAATCAAATATACACTTCCTTCAAGTAAGTATGATTTCCTTTTGAACAACAATATCTCTGGTTACTAAAATGGCTATAATTGTGAAAATAAAATAATACTTTATATCATCCATAAATGACAAAGTGAGTTGAGTATGAGAGCTGGACAGCTGTACCTTCTTTCCCAATATGACAAGCTTGATTTTGTTATATGGTTTACACTTCCTGAATTGATGTTGTAAATTTAGGATTTTGTCCTTGGTCCACTGGTACAGATCTGTAAACAACATTTGTACATGAACTAAAGGAATTATGGATCATACACAATGATAATTCTTACAACTAGTTAGTAAACCTCACAAATGTTGGCATTGATTCTTCTACAACCTGTTAAGAAATTTTGGATTTAGTATCCAGGAGCGTTTAATTAGAAAAAATACATGGTTTCTTTGTAACGTTTTTCCCCTTCCATTTTTACATCAAATGACTATCACAGACAGGAGAATTTCAACAAACTTTACTTCTACTTCTTTCTTTTTAATAAAAGAAATTACCAGGCATAGATTGATAAAAAAAAAACCCTGAATAATGAATTTGTTTAACTATCCACCAACTGATGGACATATGAATTAATGGAAGACAAAATCAATGTAAATAAAGCACCACAAATATTCCTAAATGATTTTTCAATATTTTAATTGACACAAATATGTTGACTTACCATCAGACTGGACACACATGTGCTTGACTGAAGTTTCTTCCAAATGTAAACTAGTAAGTGATGTTAGCCCACCCATCTCATCTGGCAGGATTTTAATGCCTGGGTTTCTGAATAAAATCATCACCATTTACAGCAGTTGTCCATAAAACATCGCGACTTGACAATCATTCAAAGTTTTCTTGTGACAGTCTTTGTGGCATGAAATCTTATACTTTCAAAACTGGTTATTCGAAAGACTGCTATTTCTAAAAGTCAGTTTAAGATATCAGCAGCGTTCTGTATGATGTAATAGACTCATAAAAAGCTGAGTGGCCACTCAGTGATAAGATTGATTTTCACAGAAAGACACTGCAGAGTAAGCTGCATATTCTGATATTTTAAACATCACACAAAGTGGAAAGTGAGGTGATGGAATAATCAATCTTTTGTTGTATAAGTTCTTACAAACTGACTACTAGTTTGACAGAGTTTGATAGGTTGAGATACATGAGTGAGTGTGACCTACTTTGGTAGATAGAGATATGTGAGTGAGTGTGACCTACTTTGGTAGATAGAGATATGTGAGTGAGTGTGACCTACTTTGGTAGATAGAGATATGTGAGTGAGTGTGACCTACTTTACTTTGGTAGATAGAGATATGTGAGTGAGTGTGATAGAGATATGTGAGTGAGTGTGACCTATTTTACTTTGGTAGACAGAGATATGTGAGTGAGTGTGACCTACTTTGGTAGATAGAGATATGTGAGTGAGTGTGACCTACTTTGGTAGATAGAGATATGTGAGTATGTGAGTGAGTGTGACCTACTTTGGTAGATAGAGATATGTGAGTGAGTGTGACCTACTTTGGTAGATAGAGATATGTGAGTGAGTGTGACCTACTTTGGTAGATAGAGATATGTGAGTGAGTGTGACCTACATTGGTAGATAGAGATATGTGAGTGTGACCTACTTTGGTAGATAGAGATATGTGAGTGAGTGTGACCTACTTTGGTAGATAGAAATATGTGAGTGAGTTTGACCTACTTTGGTAGATAGAGATATGTGAGTGTGACTATTTTGATAGAAGAAATATGTGAGTGCGTATAACATACTTTCATAGACTGAGAGTAAAAACATCAGTAAGCATGACCTACTTTGACAAATTGAGGTTAGTTAGCAAGGATAGATGACAGATGCCCTCTGGCACACAATCTAAGTGATTATCTCCGAGGTTCAGGTCGTGTAGACAGTAACAGAGAAATTTTGGGAGTACTATTCTAGTGGCACTGGCAGATGGAATTCGCTGTAGTCTCGGCCTGTTAAAAAAAAACAAAACATATATAACATTCATGTCTCCTATGTCTGAACAAAATATCTGAAAACTATTGAGGTCAGAACTACTTATGTGAAAAAATATTGTTGCTTAAGTGTTTCTGAGCTTTAATTTTATGACAAAATAATTGAAAACCACAGTTGGTAACTTGGCTGCATTTCTTTTTAGGACAACTGACCTTTCATAAACCCATTTGTTTGAGAAAAGCTACCTGAATCTGGTTCCTGGTGCCCCTGGAGACAACCCTTGGGCCTGACCCAGTTGGTTGCCATAGAGATTGAGCAAGTAGAGTTGTGGACAATCCCACATTTCAGGTTTGGGGAGCATTGATAACCGATTGTTGGACACGATCAGGTCAGTCAGTGCACCTGGATTTATCATCGTCATGGAAACAGATTAAAAATAGTGTTACAGAAAACAATATACATTTCAAAAAGTCTTAACTTATACAGTGATGTCAACAATGATAATGTACAATATAATATACAGTTTAATATATAACAAAAATAAAAAACCATTAGATCTAATGACATCAGCATTTACTTCTCATTACATCTTGACAATCTTTAACCAATTCTAACAAGGGAAGGAAACCATGTATCATCAAGAACTCATATGACAATCTCCACAACTAAATTTGTATCAGTGATTATGAAAACCTATCAAAATATAACACTGAAATCTGTCCTGCCTCATTTATATAACTTTGGCCATTGTAAGATAGGGACCTGGCAAGAGAGTGAAAGACAGACACATTTTGTAGACCATGAGAGACTTACAAAGTTTAACAATGCTCCCTGCCAGGAATTCCAGTTGATTGTGATCAAGGTTTAGAAATTGGAGACTTCCACACCAGAACATCTCAATGTCTTCAGGAAACCGCTCAAGCTCATTGAATGATAAGTTCAAGTGACCCTGAAACATTAGCATAAATAACAGGGCTTGAATAAAGAAACTGGTCTGATGACCAAAAACATGTCTCATATTTCTCATAATTATTCTAATTAAAATTCTCTATAGACTCAGTTGGTACAGGTATAATTACATGTATTTATCAAACAATAATTAATGCATAGGACTTACCAATTACCTCTGACTTAATGTCAGGGGCAGTCTTATTATAGTGAAGGGAAACAGCATTGGTTAGCCATTTTTTACCCAACAACAATATGTATATATAGAGGTGGGCTTATTGATAGTTCATGGGCATATTACCAGAGAGAAACTGTAACAGACATCTATAAAACAATAATAGATTCACATTTATCCAAACATGTCAGTGTTTTTTTTCTCCCTTAACTGTACAGCAGCTTGTGCCTTTAAAAATTGGGGAAAACTTTGCTCCACTTTGAGAAAATAACACATATTTTCGCTGGGGAAACATACAAAAGACAAAATATCACTGCTTATGCATCTTGTAGATTTTAAATTAAAGCATTCCCATCGATAATGACCTTTATCATTCATTGTCTTTAAATATAGCAATACACAAGTTATGGCTGTAAGTCAAGGGAATGTTACATTTGACTTAAAGATAGGGGTTCGACTTATTACAAAACAACAAAATACAGTTGTGGGATTGCACAATGTTACACAATGTCTGCATGATGTATGTATAATATGTGGATAACAAGAAAACTGGATGAAATTAGCTTCTGCACATTTGTGTGGCTTTATTGCACAGATGCGGGATGCTATCAGGGTTGATATAAATTTAGAAATGACTTACAGGTAAGTATAGGGTGGAGTTTATTTATTTTCTAAATATATAAGAGTGAAACTATATATACTTCCTAATCAAGCCATTAATACATTAATGTGTATAGGTTGGGCACTAATAGATCTATCAGATACAGGCTAAATAGTTATATAAACTCGCATTTTAAAGTATTTTGTCTACAAAGAGCCAAACGTGACTAGCCTTAGTGTACAGAAACTCAGTATATAAACATTATATATGTAAACATTAAATGGACGTCTCATTATTATCTCTATCATGAATCATCTAAAATCTTGTACTGTCATAAAAGTAAATTTTATTTTCATTACTTTTGTATTACTCTCATTTTCTGTCATTGTGTAAACAAAACGTATATACTCAGGTAAATCTGAAGTGTTGTGTTTGTTACAAGCGTGACTTAGCCAGTATAGATCCAGACTTGTAACATTAATACCCATATACAGGTAAATCTGAAATGTTGTGTTTGTTACAAGCGTGACTTAGTCAGTATAGATCCAGACTTGTAACATTAATACCCATACACAGGTAAATCTGAAGTGTTGTGTTTGTTACAAACGTGACAGTATAGATCCAGACTTGTAACATTAATACCCATATACAGGTAAATCTGAAGTGTTGTGTTTGTTACAAGCGTGACTTAGCCAGTATAGATTCAGACTTGTAACATTAATACCCATATACAGGTAAATCTGAAGTGTTGTGTTTGTTACAAACGTGACAGTATAGATCCAGACTTGTAACATTAATACCCATATACAGGTAAATCTGAAGTGTTGTGTTTGTTACAAACGTGACAGTATAGATCCAGACTTGTAACATTAATACCCATATACAGGTAAATCTGAAGTGTTGTGTTTGTTACAAGCGTGACTTAACCAGTATAGATCCAGACTTGTAACATTAATACCCATATACAGGTAAATCTGAAATGTTGTGTTTGTTACAAGCGTGACTTAGCCAGTATAGATCCAGACTTGTAACATTAATACCCATATACAGGTAAATCTGAAGTGTTGTGTTTGTTACAAGCGTGACTTAGCCAGTATAGATCCAGACTTGTAACATTAATACCCATATACAGGTAAATTTTGTTGGCACACTGCTAGTCACTCTCTGAGGTGTGAAATTATACATACGATAAAACTAATCAACGCAGGATCCTGTGTTATTTCGAAAAAATGTGGAACTGAAATTTTTTTTAATTACCAATCAATTTTAATGTTTCTGTGATCCATATTAAGACATTACTACACATGCAGTCTGTTTAATATTCCATTCCTAATATTAGCCAACCATTTTCACCAAACCGTACAAAATGTACAATTCTATTGCACAGTTGTGCACATGACATGATACTTTATAGTTTGTGTGTATGTACACGACGTCCACACTTTTTGGTACATTGTGTGATACCACAACTGTAGCATTACTTTATAATTGAACTCAAAAGCAAATATAATGACTAGGTCTGAAAATTCTAGCAGCTTCAGATTTATTACCAAGTTACAATCCCAGCCTCCACAGAATGCAGTCATACAGTTGTGGCTGGCGTCTAATGCCACAAGTCCAGAGCACTGTTTGATGGCACCAGGTAGCATCTTCAGCTGGTTGTGGGACACAACAAGGCGTGTTAGCTTATCACATGACCAATCCCTACTTTTGGGACTAACCGATGACACTGTAACAAATATGGGTTGGAAACATGTAATGTACAATGTATGATATAAAGGTTGCTATTGTCTGTGGCTCAAAAGTTTGCCAAAGTCATACAAAGTGGAAATTATGATGTATCACGGTTTTTATATCAGTGGATTAAATATTTGAAGAAAAAAACACTTAATTCTGAGAGAAGGAAACAACTTTACATATTACCATCCTCACTGACGGAAACCCTGGAGAAAATGAACTGGTGCTCCCGTACTAAATACTGTAGTTTGTTGTGGCTGAGATATAGCTCCTCAAGTCCTGCGATCTGGAACAACTCAGTACACACGGTTTCCAACTCATTGTGGCTTAACTGAATCCACTTTAAACTGTCCAGGAAAGAAAATATGATCAACAAAATCAGTGCTGCTAATACTATAGTCAACATATCTTCATTTATTGTGTACAGTTGCTTATGTTAGTTTTTGATGAAAACACCAGGAAATTCAGAAGTAATTAAAAGAAGTAATAAAAAATTTAATCATCAATTAAAATGTCATTTGTCTCTTTATATTTCATTATTTTTACTGTTTATTTGTAGCATTTACCAGGGACGTATATAACATATTATATATCCCTGAATTTTTCAGCAACATAGAGGGGAGACAATCCATAATCCTGTCACAACATTACCATTGACACACAGGGCGTGCCGAACCACATGTGAGGTGTACGAGGGAGTTGTGTGAGGCATTGAACCGCTGGAGATTTGGGAAAGACCATGGTATTTCTCTAGGTAGCTCCTCCAGACAGTTCTCACTGATATTTATAGATACTAAAGTCTCAGTGTACACTCTCAGCCAGTCACCATGAAAAGCTCTCAACTGAATTTTTTTGTAATCTGCAACATGCTGAAATGTAAAACAAGGAGGTGGTGATTATTTTATGCATAACAATTCAACTGTTTATTGATATCACACAATGGGGAATTCACTCTTATAACATTTATGCAATATCTGTTACTATTTTTGTATCCTTGAGCATTTTCCAATGGCTGCAGCAGTCAGAAATTTATTATGATGTTATGATATGGACAATAATGCTTCGACATGAAATGAACATGGCACAACAAAACTGCTGCCCTCGTTTGCCTTTTTCCTCACATTTTGATTTCAAAACCTATGAAAATTTGAAATAAACATTTTTGGGTTATGTGAGAAAAAGTATTTTAAATTCATTTTTTTTCAGTAATATCTAACAATAACGATGACATATATAATGATACATTAATACATAATTATCTAAGATTGTGATGACATTAAAGAATTCATTACATTATGAACTATACAAGACAACAATTACACACCATATACATTTTCAACAGGGTTATCATAGCCTTTGTTGGAAGAAAATGCCATTCATCCCTCCTGATCCACTATCTGATGTTCCATCCCTGTCGCTGCCATTCCACCCCTCCTGATCCACTATCTGATGTTCCACCCCCTGTGACTGCCATTCCACCCTCCTGATCCACTATCTGATATTCCACCCCCTGTGGCTGTCATTCCACCCCTCCTGATACACTATCTGATGTTCCACCCCCTGTGGCTGCCATTCCACCCTCCTGATACACTATCTCATGTTCCACCCCTTGTGGCTGCCATTCCACCGTTCCACCCCCTGTGGCTGCCATTCCACCCCTCCTGATCCACTATCTGATGTTCCACCCCCTGTGACTGCCATTCCACCCCTCCTGATCCACTATCTGATGTTCCACCCCCTGTGGCTGCCATTCCACCGTTCCACCTCCTTTGGCTGCCATTCCACCCTCCTGATACACTATCTCATGTTCCACCCCTGTGACTGCCATTCCACCCTCCTGATCCACTATCTGATGTTCCACCCCCTGTGACTGCCATTCCACCCCTCCTGATCCACTATCTGTTGTTCCACCCCTGTTGCTGGCATTCCCTGATCCACTATCTGATGTTCCACCCCCTGTGGCTGCATTCCACCCTCCTGATCCACTATCTGATGTTCCACCCCTGTGACTGCCATTCCACCCCTCCTGATCCACTATCTGATGTTCCACCCCTTGTGGCTGCCATTCCAACCCTCCTGATCTACTATCTGATGTTCCACCCCCTGTGGCTGCCATTCCACCGTTCCACCCCCTGTGGCTGCCATTCCACCCCTCCTGATCCACTATCTGATGTTCCACTCCCTGTAACTGCCATTCCACCCTCCTCATCCACTACCTGATGTTCCACCCCCTGTGACTGCCATTCCACCCTCCTGATCAACTATCTGATGTTCCACCCCCTGTGACTGCCATTCCACCCCTCCTGATCCACTATCTGTTGTTCCACCCCTGTGGCTGCCATTCCCTGATCCACTATCTGATGTTCTACCCCCTGTGGCTGCCATTCCACTCTCCTGATCCACTATCTGATGTTCCACCCCTGTGACTGCCATTCCACCCTCCTGATCCACTATCTGATGTTCCACCCCTGTGGCTGCCATTCCATCCCTCCTGATCCACTATCTGATGTTCCACCCCTGTTGCTGCCATTCCACCCCTCCTGATACACTATCTGATGTTCCACCCCTTTTGGCTGCCATTCCACCCCTCCTGATCCACTCTCTGATGTTCCACCCCCTGTGGCTGCATTCCACCGTTCCACCCCCTGTGGCTGCCATTCCACCCCTCCTGATCCACTATCTGATGTTCCACCCCCTGTGACTGCCATTCCACCCTCTTGATCCACTATCTGATGTTCTACCCCTTCTGGCTGCCATTCCACCCCTCCTGATCCACTATCTGATGTTCCACCCCTGTGGCTACCATTCCATCCCTCCTGATCCACTATCTGATGTTCCACCCTGTTGCTGCCATTCCACCCCTCCTGATACACTATCTGATGTTCCACCCCTTTTGGCTGCCATTCCACCCCTCCTGATCCACTATCTGATGTTCCACCCCCTGTGGCTGCCATTGGTTCACAAATTCCATGTTACACACATTTTAAGTTTTGCTCACCAAGGTTCACAAAAATAAAAACTTCAAAATATGCTTTATAAAATCTCATATCAGCTAATATCCAAGTTAATATATACAAATTCTGTCACTGTACTGCTTTTAAAGAGAAGTGGTAAACAGTGATTTGTAGTGGTGTCAAGATTAATTAATTTGCATTTGATGTCAAAAAGAAACTTTAAGATACTTTATCTTGCATAAAAAAACCAAAACATAAATACCCCAAACAAAACACAAAATGCAATCATACTATTTCAATAACAGTTTAACCCAGTACATATACATAACAGGAAATTATAACCTAGACATATAGATTCCTTGTACCAGTATGAACATATGACAGAGATCAAAGAACACACCGTCAGAACATCAACAATGCCACATGACACACTATTCTGCTTACCAATGGGGATATTCAATACAAATATATATCTTAATGTAGGGTTAGCTGTGTATATCTTACTGAAGGGTTAGCTGTGTATATCTTACTGAAGGGTTAGCTGTGTATATCTTACTGTAGGGTTAGCTGTGTATATCTTACTGTAGGGTTAGCTGTGTATATCTTACTGTAGGGTTAGCTGTGTATATCTTACTATAGGGTTAGCTGTGCATATCTTACTATAGGGTTAGCTGTGTATGACTTACTGTAGGGTTAGCTGTGTATATCTTGCTGTAGGGTTTACTGTGTATATCTTACTGAAGGGTTAGCTGTGTATATCTTACTGAAGGGTTAGCTGTGTATATCTTACTATAGGGTTAGCTGTGTATATCTTACTATAGGGTTAGCTGTGTATGACTTACTGTAGGGTTAGCTGTGTATATCTTACTGTAGGGTTAACTGTTTATATCTTAATGTAGGGTTAGCTGTGTATGACTTACTGTAGGGTTAGCTGTATATATCTTACTGAAGGGTTAGATGTGTATATCTTACTGTAGGGTTAGCTGTGTATATCTTATTGTAGTGTTAGCTGTGTATATCTTACTGTAGGGTTAGCTGTGTATATCTTACTGAAGGGTTAACTGTGTATATCTTACTGTAGGATTAGCTGTGTATATCTTACTGTAGGGCTAGCTGTGTATGTCTTACTGTAGGGTTAGCTGTGTATGTCTTACTGTAGGGCTAGCTGTGTATATCTTACTGAGGTGTTAGCTGTGGATATCTTACTGTAGGGTTTACTGTGTATATCTTACTGAAGGGTTAGCTGTGTATATCTTACTGTAGGGTTTACTGTGTATATCTTACTGTAGGGTAAGCTGTGTATATCTTACTGTAGGGTTTACTGTGTATATCTTACTGAAGGGTTAGCTGTGTATATCTTACTGAAGGGTTAGATGTGTATATCTTACTGTAGGGTTAGCTGTGTATATCTTACTGTAGGATTAGCTGTGTATATCTTACTGTAGGGTTAGCTATGTATATCTTACTGTAGGGTTAGCTGTGTATACCTTACTGTAGGGTTAGCTGTGTATATCTTACTGTAGGGTAAGCTGTGTATATCTTACTGTAGGATTAGCTGTGTATATCTTACTGTAGGGTTAGCTGTGTATATCTTACTGTAGGGTTAGCTGTGTATACCTTACTGTAGGGTTAGCTGTGTATATCTTACTGTAGGTTAGCTGTGTATATCTTAATGTAGGGTTAGCTGTGTATGTCTTACTGTAGGGTTAGCTGTGTATATCTTACTGAAGGGTTAGCTGTGAATATCTTACTGTAGGGTTAGCTGTGTATATCTTACTGTAGGTTAGCTGTGAATATCTTACTGTAGAGTTAGCTGTGTATATCTTACTGAAGGGTTAGCTGTGTATATCTTACTGTAGGGTTAGCTGTGTATATCTTACTGAAGGGTTAGCTGTGTATATCTTACTGTAGAGTTAGCTGTGTATATCTTACTGAAGGGTTAGATGTGTATATCTTACTGTAGGGTTAGCTGTGTATATCTTACTGTAGGGTTAGATGTGTATATCTTACTGAAGGGTTAGATGTGTATATCTTACTGTAGGGTTAGCTGTGTATATCTTACTGAAGGGTTAGCTGTGTATATCTTACTGTAGAGTTAGCTGTGTATATCTTACTGAAGGGTTAGATGTGTATATCTTACTGTAGGATTAGCTGTGTATATCTTACTGTAGGGTTAGCTGTGGATATCATACTGAAGGGCTAACTGTGTAGATCTTAAAGTAAGGTATAATCTTACTGAAACATACAAATATGGTATAGTGGTATTCCTATTGTAGCTGAAAGTGTTGTTTTTAAAGATGATTGGACTAATTTCAGTTTGTATATGCTGTTAATAATATGGAATTGATCATCACACTAATTTACCAAAAAATGATCATTCCCCCAAGTTTGACTTTGCCAAATTGTTTACTCTATTCCTGAATTTCTCTAGAAAGACTATTACATGACCAGTTAGTTTTACAAGGAGCAGCCATTATTTACCACTATATTAAGTGCAATGATAAGATAAATATGTAGATACTGACGTTAATAAATAAATCAAGTTTCTTTGATGTATCAAATGTTGTGAGTTTTGATCAAACACAAGTGAGAGGAGTGAGGAAGATTTAATCCTATCTGATACTTCATGTATGATAGATATAAACAATACAGGTCACACCTCCAATATTTTACAACAGCCATGTTGATTAGACCAGGCATCACCTACCACTGCTCGCTCTTACTGAAAGGTAAAGTTACAAGGTGTTTAACAGTGATTCAAGCCCACGTCTGGTAAATGGGATGTCTTGTAATAAGCCCATCCCTGCCTGTGAGTCGGAAGTAAATTTTGGCCGATAGGGCTCATTGCAGAGTAAAATAGGTAGTCTATAATCACACAAACAAATACTGGGAAATAAGTAAACAAATAAATCCCC